CACTGATGGGGCTTGAAGCTGGTTGGTGAGATCTCTACCACCGGCCCTTACCCGTTGTGCTGGCTGACTGGGAGTGATACCCAGTCTCTGATCTGCAATACAAAGTGGTAATGATGGTTAAGAAAGCCTGTGAGGGCTATGAGAAGCAAAATAGCAAAAGATACCTCCAGCCCTAAAGCCAGAGGTGTAACAGGAAAAGTGTTTGAGAACCAAGACATGGAACGAGAAGATGATAAAATAATAAATTATTCTTACAGAACAGTGCGTGATCTGGTTTTTTGTGGGATGGTATGTATAATGATCCTTCAAAGTGAAACCCAGAGATGTGTGGGTGTGGATTTGGATGAGGAGGGATAGATGGAGTTTGGAAGATAGTTGCAGCAAAGGGATGACAATGACAGCAGTTAAAAAAAGTGGTAGCAGTGGGAAGTGTTGTGACCACACTGGATCACAAGTAGCAGAGTAGTGAACTTGAGATTAGAGAAGAAGTCTGGATTGGAGTTCTTGTTTTTTTTACAACATAAAATACAGGGGTTTATATAGTAAAAGAAAGGTAGGCTATGCACAATATAGCTGTGCAAAAAGAATGAGAAAGAACATAAAGGAAGGAATGTATGCTGACAAATCCTGTGTAGGTGTTATGGTTTCTATTCTTTTTTACGGACTACTCATTTTCCTATACTCATTGGTTATACCATCGGACCAATGACTCATTTCCTTCACGTATATTTCTGTTCTCTTCGCAGTCGCATTACTTAGTATAGTATTTAGTCCTCAATGGACAGACCAGCCCTAGATAGGACCTAACTCCTATCACCAATTCCATCTCCTATAAATACACTTGTAACAGTAGTAGTATTCTTCAATACAATTCTACGCAGTTTACACTTACAAAGCTAGACTCCTAAGATCAGACTTCTATTCAGAAGAAGACCAACTCTCATTGGAAGAACTCTACTCAGAACTACGTTCTCGAACTTGTCTTCGGATAAGTCTCTTTGAAAACCTCAATGAACCCTCAGACTTTGTTTAGCACTTTGTGTGTAACAGTAGGTAGTACAGGATAAGATCGTCAAAATAAGGAAAAGAAAGAGATAGAACAATAAATGCTGTGTAAGTAATGTCACAGGTTTGTACACCCATAAAATAAAGTCCAAAAACAGAAAGAGAGCAAAAAAATCATGATGTCATGGGAAGATGCAGTAAAAAAAAGGGCAAGGCAAAACACTATCAGTATCAACACAGTTCCTTTATTGTCAGTCAGGCACTCTAAAAAATATGTGTCCATAAAAATGATTCAAAATCAAAAATAATCACACTGTAAATGAATGTTCTGCTGAAAAAAAAGGAACTGGAGCCACCGGTTGTAACAACCAAGAGTTAGTTACTCTGGCGCACACGGGAACACACTATAGAGAGAATGAAGAATGAAGAGGGAGTGGTTACCCCTTAGGATGCAGAGAGTTAGTTGGTATACAACAGGAGGACTCGCTGAGTCCTTCCCCATGTATTGCTCTTGTATATATACTAAAATACATGAGGTACTGTACAGTTGTAAATAAAGTTCAAAGTCCGATGTCTAGCATGTGACCGGTCACATAATGAGTCTAGACACTGGTCAGGTGATGTGTCACATGACTGGTCATGTGACTTGGAAAATAAAAGTAGAAGTACAAAAGTGAAGCGTAAGTAGGTGCTGGTATGTCAATTGTAACACCGGTCCACCACCTAGTCCAAATCCGACGGTTCCATGGCCTTCCCAATAGACTGGTTATATTGGACCACCTGGTCAAACAAGGGAGGGAGGGGAGTAGTTCCAATTTGGAACAAGTGAGTCCCAGGCAGCATGTGGTAGGTGTAGCTGTAGCAAAGACAATGGACAAAAGATAAGTGTACCCAAGTGAATGGGACAGCAATGTACATAGGCGACGCAAGGGGATGAACCTTCTCCAGCTCAAAAACGACCCACCCATGCTCCAGCCAGGCGAGACGAGCGACCAATGTTTTGATGGTATATGATGGAAGATCGACATCATGAAGATGGACTTGTTGCCCAACTTGGACCGGCTGCTGGGGCTTTGCTGATATCAGCAGTGGCACGTGGTGGCCGACGGATCGGCAACGGAAGCGGATAGAGAGTGGTGACATCAGATATGGTGGGGGAGCAAAGAAGATGAGGAGGAGGAGGGTGGAGGTGACGAGGAGGTGAACTAAAATGGGGATCCAGAAGCGACCATCAGGTGAGAATAAGAAAGAGAGTAATGGTCCCATGGTGGGGCTGAGTAAAGAAAAAAAGTAAGGGAGGACGACAAAAGCAAGGGCGCAATGTGTAGCCAGTGGCGACACAAAAATTTGCCAAAATGCCAAAATGCCAAAAGTACCGAATGGAAAAGCAAAGGTGAGTGTGACTGAATTGCCTAATAGAGGTGGTGCTGATCAGCCACAAGTTCGAAAAAGGCAATATTAATTACTATTCCACGTGGCACTGTGCCTGTGTGGCGCAAAGGCGAGTCTTTTTGAATATTCGCTTCATTCTTGACACCTGTCTATGCTACCAATCAACTTTGGTGCATGACAGCGCCAAGACCCTAACAAAGATGGATCTCAGATGGGGGTACAACAATGTACAAATCAAGGAAGTAGATGCTTGGAAGGCCACATTCATGTGCCAAGGTCCTTTGAGCCCCTTGTCATATTCTTTGGGTTAACCAATTCACCGGCGACCTTCCAGAGCATGATGAATGAGATCTTTGCAGATATGGAAAATTGTGTCGTCATTTACATTGACAATTTATTAATATTCACAAAGTTGGACAATGAGGCTGAGCATGACAGGATTGTGCAAGAAGTCCTTTGACACTTACAAAAATGGGACCTATTTGTCAAACCCAAAAATTGTAATTTCAAAGTAAAGGAAGTAGACTTCCTCGATATGATAATAGGCTAGGACAGAATCAGCATGGACCCTGAGAAAGTTCAAGCTATATTGGATTGGCCAGAACCTACTCACGTAAAAGGAGTTGGGGCCTTCCTTGGCTTAGGCAACTTCTACTGAAGGTTTGTTGAAAACTTTGCAAAGATAACGAGACCGTTGAACAACCTCACTAAAAAGGATATGATTTGATTAGATAAAGAGTTCCAGCTAGAAACTGACTCTTCTGATTTTGCTACTGGGGCTGTTTTGTCAATCAAATGCCCTGACGATCTTTGGAGGCCTTGTGCCTATTTATCGCATAGTTTGTCACCTACAGAGTGCAACTATCAAATTTATGATAAGGAGAGCTCTAGAGCACTGGCGGCACTACTTAGAAGGTGTTAGGCACCATTTCAAAATTTGGACTGATCATAAAAATCTGGAGTATTTTATGACGGCCCGTGTCACCCTGATAGATCAATCCAGGGTTGCCAATTTTGAATTGGGCAGGATTCCGATCTTCTAGAAGTCTTCAAGAAAGACATCTCACCAGAAAAGAATGTGCACCTTAATGGCAATGAACACTATTCATGGGAAGACGGACTCTTCCATTATAAAGACAAAATATATGCGCCTGAGTCCGCAAAGTCCGCAAGGATCAAGGCAATAGATAGACATCATGACACTCCAGCGGCTGGGCACCCTGGATGGCAACAAACAATGGAGTTGATCTCCAAAAACTACATGTGGCCTAGCATGGTCAAAGATGTACAGTAATACAATACATAAAATCCTGTCTGAGATGTGCCATGGTAAAGAACTCGCATCAACTGCCGGCCAGTAAACTTGTGCCAAATCTGATACCAGCTGGTCCCTGGCAGGATATATTGGTTAATTTCACAATGGACCTACCAGAGTCAAATGGGTATGATTCAGTAATTGTGGTAGTAGATTGCTTCTCCAAAGAAGTGGTGTTTATTCCCACAAATAAAACTATTACAGCCACTGGTACGGCAGACTTATTTAAAGATTTTGTATGGTCTATCCATGGGTTACCGGAAACAGTTATCTCTGATAGGGGACCCCAATTCACTAGCAAATTTACGAAAGAACTTTGCCAGATGCTGAGCATCAAACCTAAATTTTCAATGGTGTTCCATCCGCAGACTGATGGACAAATAGAGAGGCTCAATCAAGAATTGAAGCAATACCTCCATATCTTTATTAGTGACAGGCAGATGGATTACGCCAAGTGGCTAAAGATAGACTAAGTTCACCCTCTTTGTATCTTTCTCATAGAAACCCCCATAATAATAAAATAAACCTTAACCAAAAATATGTTGATTTCATAAGTAGACCACAATCATTTTAGTATGTAGACAATCATTTCAAACAGGCTCTATTATCCTCCAAGTCTTTACCTGCCCCCCTTATTGCTTCTGCAGTGGCCCATCTACCTAGGCTGACAATACTCAAACCAATGAGGGTGCTTCCAATTGTAGGAGCCGCCAAGAGCACATATGCTAAGGACATTGATGCCATCACTATTGAAGAAAATGACAATGCCTGTTACAGTCCCCTTCAAAGGGACAAAGCTGATGTGGGAAATGCCCGACTATGACTCGGAATAAACAACGTATAGTACATTCTCTTGGAGATATGATTACGTCTGTTTTTTTTTGTAGAATTACCATAATAGTAGTATAACTGTATGTCTTGAAATGTCAGAAGGTTTTTGTATGTAAGGTTTCCGTCTTTGAGATTTGTGTCCCCCCGAGGCGGGGACTGACGTCAAACACCGCTACGATCGATGTATAGGGGACCCTTCGCACAAAGAGAGCAGTCTTTCCAACGTGTGTTATATCTCTCAATACATCCCGACCTTGCCCACTGCCTGATTCCAAAGTGTGGACTTCATCGCAAACAAAGATTGAACGCAAGTAAATCCCAACCCCTTTGACATTCTATCAGATTGTTCTCGTGGACAAGCGGGTTCTCGGCGATCTGTCTTGATGACAGCCTTGTCATGATGGCAGATTTTTCGAAAAGACAGCCATGCAAATACGGTCCAAGCTGGCACTAGCGCTCGCGGAGTACACGTCCGTATAAACCATGGATCAACTCCATGTCACGTCCTGCATTTGAAAAAAGGCCCAAAATAAAGGTATCGCGATCCGGACACAACCAAAAAGCTTAACCCAACACAAAATCTTTCACCGAGGGACGTGTCACCCTATCCCCAAGATCCCCGAGTTCAAAAATGACAATTGACAATTGACAGCAGGCTCAGCAGGCTGGTAGCACTTGTCGTGTTCCCTCCGTAAAGTATCCTAAATCTCGCCGACGATGATCCGCCACCATTGAAATCATTGCGGCCCCGCAAAGCTTTGGCTTGGCACTTAGACGACAGCGAAGACCAGAACTTGAAGGCAGCTGTGAAGGCTCGTGCGTTGCCGCAGGCTCAGTGTGGCAGAGCATGACTGGATTGGGTAAAACTTCATTGACATAGATAAGTCAAGTTGACAGAGGCTGGTGCGAGCGGGCCGCGGGTATTAATGTCGTACCTTTCCAGCGGAACGTATCTGAAAGAGTTAAAACACAAGGTTAGCTATTGCGGTAAACTACGTTATAGGGAGAGTTCACCTACTTATTCTACGTAGAATTTTGGCGTGTTCCTGAGAATAAATGCCGAAGGTAGAAGCTCGAACCAGTGCGGTTGCCAGCTCATTATCACTTCGTAAAGCGACAGACATGGTATACCCACGGTCTACGCACGTAGAACGACAGTACTTCCATTGGAATCCGGATAAGTCCCATGGACAAGCAAGTAATGGGACGGGAGACTTTTAGATAGCAACAAGGTTTATTTTTTGTGTCATATGCCTCAAAGCGAAAACGAGTCGAGTTCGAGTCGGATCCTGCATATATGGGTGACAGGAAATAGTCATCAATGTTCATGGTTGTAGAATTTGAGATACGAAGGTTGCGGTGATACGAGCCAGATTTTAACGAATACAAATGTTCAGAGCAACAGGGCTGCTTATGGATAACCCTTCATTAGCTATACCCACGCATCGAAGAACAAACATACCCAACATGCACGAATAAAGAATACAAGGACAGAGTCCTAAATGTGGACCAGGTTTAGGTTTACTAGAATGCTTTCTGTGATTTCATTAACTCTTATGTCACCGTATTGGAAACATGCGTTCTCACCAACTTGTAGCTCTCGGACTTGCCACTTTCCTCCGCGTTCGTCTTGTTCAAGGCCCGTAGGTGGAGTGGACCCCTGATCCAGGTTATGCGTGATCCTCAGGATTCCCACATAAGATTCAGGGATTTTTCTTGTCTGAATAAACATTCTATACCAGTCATGACTTGGCCTCAGTTGAAAGGTGTTTGATAGCTTTCCTTAGCCTGGTCATCATCGCTGTAAGTGGTCTCGTAAAGGAAAGGCGCTTGTCGGTAGCAGTCGGCATGCGCTATTTGCCACTATTTGTGGCTATAGTCCCGTCCTTTTCTCTCCCAAAATTTTGTAGCCCTCAAAGTCCAGGTTGCGCTCAAGTCGTGCTACCACTGCGCCTATACTCTCTGCAACGACTGAGCTCATGCGGTATGCGGTAAGGCCAATTAGATACGCACACGACGCGCCTGCACGCTAATTGCTTCTTTGAAAGCAGGTAACTTATGTTACTTTGTCGCCGTCTACTCATTGGCGTACGCATACCGAAACTCATCCCAACTCATACTATAATTCGAAAATTTAGTCCTCAAGGGGCTATTCAAATATCACAGCCTGGACATGACAAACCTAGTCCCCTCGAGATTCTGTCTCCGAACATTGTACCTCGACCACCTGAAAAATGGCGCGAAGCGGGAAAACCTTTCAAAGCCTATACTACCGCACGCAAGAAGGACAGGGCGAGCATTGGCAACCTACCCTTCGAAGCGCTCTCTTCCCTCATCATACAATCGTACCAACATAGATCGTCTATCATTATGGATTACCTTGCTGCAGACGTGGTGGAGGGGTACGTCAGCAATGAAATGCACCGTCGACGAGCCGCTCTACTGCTCTTGTCGCATGAGCCCGACCAGCCCATTCTTATCCCAACTCAAAGACAAGTATCATTACTCAATTTGCTCCGCTCAGCCTCGTTGTTGTTGTCAATTCCACACGCGGCTGTCCTGCGGCTGATTAAGACTTTGGTCGATGACCTAGTTTCCTCACCCTCCGATGGGGAGTTGTTGGATATGTTGTATCCTCTTTTTCGACTACCCCTTCGTGCGGTTCCAGCACCCAAGGGAATGAGGTCAATGACATACCATCCTCCCCCAATAGTATATATTGCATTTGGTCTGGTGCACAAACTGCTCCAAGCCGGTCGAGACATACAGGCGCTAGAGATTTTTCAACTCCTCGTAAAAAGCCATCACGTTCCTGCTGAAGCAATTCAATATATGAAGAAGAACACGTCCCAAAATTTTGCGTTTATCATCAGGTCAACCCTCGTCAGGGCAAGCCTTCACTGGACTTGGCACGGCCGTGCTATTGCTCTACTCGTCGAAGTCATCAGAACACACGAAAACATTGACGCTGAAGTCATTGAGCTATCCGTGGATACTCTGTATACTGCTCTCGATTCACCGTCTATCGGAGACCTCGCTATCGCTGGCTCGTTGATGCGTGAGTTAGATATTCGTGTTCCCGATTTTATCATCCCAGACGGGATGATCCGCCTATTTTACGAACGCGCAAAGCGATTGGAAAAAGGTTCTATTGCTGAACTACTCTACAAACACACTCAGTTGCCCCCTGTATTGGAGCGCGTCCAATATCCGCCGCCTCGAGGCCCTACCTTGACTTGGTTCATGGACCATCTCACCACGGGCAGCAGAAATATGCATCTCGCCCGCCTGCTCGCGAAACAAGTCGTCGATGGGTTCGAGCTCATCCCTGTGCAAGATCGCGCGAGCTTTATAATTCTAACTGCCGCTCACGGTTTTGCTGTACAAGCGAGAGCGCTGTGGGAAAGATATGCCCAGGGAAGAGACCGCGATGTCGTCGTGGGCAATGCGGCTGCTATGATACGTGTGGTCAGCCTTTTCTCAGATTTGATCTCACGCACCAGGAAAAAGGTGGATAACATGGAGGTGGGGAAAGATGATGAGGCTGAAGGAGTCGAGAGTCTGAACCGGGAATACTACGAACAACAGTTGGACGTATTTAGCGAGTTCGCTTTCCGTGTACTTGGGGAGTTTCGTCAGTCCATTGAACCCTTGGAGGATGCAGACCACTATCATTTAACGGCATTGGCACGGGCATATTTTGTGCTTGGGCGTGTCTCGGACGGTTTTGACACGTTCAAAGTTATATTGGACCGTAAGGAGGTACCCGACACACATGACATCAATGTTGCATTATCAGCGATGGCAGAATATTCACCCAGGAATGCAGCAGGGATGATTGAACGGATGATAGAGAGAGGCGTGTCCCCTGATGCTGTAACGTTTGGGACGGTGCTTCATCACTCCGTTGTTCACGGCGATATGGATCTGGTATGCAGCCTGATCAACCGGGCTCAAGAACTGGACCGCGGAGAACTGTCACTGAAAGCTGTGGCTGCGCTGATCAGAGCGAGTGTCAAAATGGAAGACGAGGACAAGGGAACGCTGAAGACGAATCTGCGCCGGGCAATGGGCATCATACGGTCGATGAAGGACATGGAGATCGTGTGCACGCCGAATACGGGGAAATACTGTATATTTGCGTCGCTGCACGTTGATGAACCTGTGATGGCATTCAAGTTTTGGGACATGCTGGTGAAGGCGAAGACGGAGTGGGATGATAGGGAGCAGTCGTTCCAGCGGCGGCTGATAGCGTCGATGATTCGCAGACACTATCAGGCAGGGTGGCTGAGTCGTGACCGTGGAATGCTGATGCTTGGACGGCTGAGGGAGAAGCCAGGACGGGCGATGATAGAGCGGACAGAATAGTAGGATAGGATAGACTAGAATACGTCTCACACTTAATTATCGACATGATGCTACAGAGAACAAGGCTCGGTTAGATTTGGAGATCATGAATTTTATTTTATTTACCGGTACCGACAAGGCACAGGTTCGTAAGAAGGAGAACGGCATGCGGGTATACCCACTGCAGCGAGCAGCCAAAGGACCGCGAATGAGGAAATGGTAGGGCTGTTGTCGTCTGTTTGTGTGTGTCCCGATATGGGGTGTGGGGTAACCCCGGTGTTTGGCCGTGGCTCGTGATCTTGGGCAAGCCGAGCGTTGGAACCAAACTGGGGTGAACCACATGGCTGGTCTTTGGCGTATATTGCCATCGCTGCCATCGCTGCCATCGCGTCCAGATATTTCAGAGGGTATCCAGATTTGAGCTGTTTGACTCTTTCGTCTAATACTAAGAAGCTGCACTTGGCCCACCCAAACAACACCCCTCAAAACCTCCTTTTACTGTCAGATAACACGCGTGTAGGCCCCGCCCCACTCCCCTTGTTCTCCTCCCGTTTTCTGTTGTTTCTTTCCTACACAGACGATGCCTGCCGCACGCGCAAAAAAAGACTCTAATTCTGGCACACCTCCTTCCGACGACGGCAACCCAAAGGAACCCCCCGCCGAAAACAGCAAGAGCAAGAGAAAGTGCGTTGCTCATTTAGACCGAGCTTTCTCCGTCCATCTTCAGTCCCTTCTCATTCCTCTGCATCCTCTCTGTCCTGCATCTCGCTTCACTCTCTTTCTCTTCTCATCATCTAGCCTCTTTCAGCCCTGTTCCATACTATTTTGTACATTCCATGTCATATTTCTTCTAGTCTTTCCAATCAACCGAGCTGACTCCTCTTTTGCTTTTATGTAACAGGCGGCAATCTCAGAGTGCGTATTGCCCTCCTTTACCTGATAATTTGGTCATTTCCTTACATCTCCATCAGGCTGTGATGCCTGCAGAGCACGCAAAGTGAGATGCGCTCGAGAAAATCCTGATGATCCGAAGCAATCTTGCAAGCACTGTATAGCATTAGGCATCCCCTGCACTTATGATTATCAGCCAAAGAAAAGAGGTCCACCTAATCTGTAAGTCTCCTCTCCACATTCCACCATCTTCTCCCTTACGTACGGTATCAAAGCTACCTGCGTCGCCTACAAGAGGCGGCTGCTGCTGCGGCTGCTGCTCAGCAAGAGAATCCAAACGAAGAATATACATCTGTCTCACCCATATCCGCTCACCAAACTCTTGCCAGCCCCACGCAGCCAAGTTTATCTCCCTCGATTCCAGGACAAGCTTCCTCTTCTTTTTTGGAGCCCTCATTAACTCCTGTCTCTGCATCACTCCCACCTTCTCGTTATCCTATTGCTGCTGACATATATCATTACCCACCTCTTGGTCCTCTCCCTTCCGCGTCCTACGGTGGCCCTCATGGGTCAGAATCAAATGGCAATTCACTGCTTTCACACCCGTCAACAAAAAACGAAGATACACAGTCATATTCATCTCCTGAGCCCTACGGTGCATTCTCCGCTTACAACTGGTCATACAAACATCACCAACCGCTCCCTGTGCTTCCCCCAACGGCCATACCTCCTCTGTCCTACTACTATCGGCCACATCGTTTGGAAGATATAGCACCTCGCGATACTATCTCACTGATCATAGCGCTGTTTTTTGATTTTGTATATCCTCTGACACCATGCATTCACAAGCCGTCCTTCATGGCTGACCTACACTCTCGAAGGGAGGAACGGGATCCACTATTTTTTGCTCTAGTTATGTCCACTGTAGCGTCGACGTTGGTACAAGTACCGAGGTCATATCTTCCCATGGAACGTTCTGTAGTCCGCAAAATGGCACAAACCTGCTATGAAGCAAGTCGACATATATCTATAGCGTCCTACGACCCTCCTACTTCCATGCATGTTGTCGTTCGTTACTTGTGAGTTCTCGCATTGAACGGCCACTACGAGTCTACTGATGACATTTATAGCGATTGTGTCTATCACTTCTGTGAAGGTCACGACGCTACACAGCACGCGGCGTTTGGCGAGGCTGCACATATCGCAGTGACCTTGCGTATGCATGAGGAGGCTTCGTATGAAGGGCTAGATCCTATCGAATGTGAAGTCCGACGAAGGACGTTCTGGTTATTGTTCGGAGGTAGGCATTTCCCTATGCATTCGTCCCGAGTTTCTATCGAGGTGTCACTTACATGATCTTGTGATTGACAGCGGATAAGTCAATGTCAATATTACTGGGACGTCCAATTTGCCTTCGCGACGAAGATTGCACAGTACATTTTCCGAAAGAGCTGGACGACGAGTAGTGAGTGATCTAACCGAAGATTAACCACGTTTAACCCGCTAAATCGGCTCCCCCCTATCTTCTTTTGTATAGCATCACCCCTAGCGCATATCTGCCGCAACCGCATGGAAAAACTGCGCTAGTTTCTGGCTTGAACTATATCTCAAGGATTTTTGCATTGCTCGGTGAAATCTTGGTTCGCATCCGGGTTGACAAGCGCTCTCCTCCACAAGGGCAGTTTGCCACCGCGAGACTGGAGGAAGTCCAGTCTCTTCACTCGCGTATCTTGGCAGCGTTGGTTCACACCCCTGAACCTCTGCGCTTGAAACAAACAAGACAACATTCTAATCTTTCCCCAGATTATGGTGGAGCTGGTTTCAGACAGGCCACTTTTGCAGAAGTCAAAGATTTCTTTGAGAATCCCAAAGCTTCACGCGCTAATGCGCTTAACCCGTTCTTGGTTATGCAGGCTAATCTTTACGTGACTCAGGTAAGTGAAGATCGTCGAGCGACCTGCATACTCAGTGGTTAACTTTTGTTGCTCGGTTAGCAACTTGTCCGATTTGTCATTGAACAATACCGCGACGAGTTGATTACGTCTTTGCAGGGCAACATCGATGAACACCAAGTAGCTGAAGACAGGGAAGCCGTTGCTAGCGACCTTCTCAATATTCTTCACAGGTAAGCTCGTGTCAACAAGCTTGGCCTTTCGGTATTTACACCGTTTACCGCTTCAGTATTCCCATACAATCCATCGCTACGAACGGCCCGTCACTGGTAAGATCCGCTATACCTCCCATGTGTCTCGTTGCATTGATACGAGATACGTTTTCAGGTCCACAAAGTGCGATTCGTTGCATCTACACTGCTTGATGCAGTACGAAAGGCCGAGACGGCCCCAGCTTCAGCGGCCCGGGCTCATGCCTTTTTATGTTCGTTGCACCTCATCGATGCGTTTGTCTTTGCTGACGGCCACGGCATTTTTAGGGGACTTCTTATCCATCCTTTCCGAAATTGAACGGAACTATCTGTGAGTGACTTGTACCCTAATCTTTTACTCGTGAGAAGCTGATTGAGTGATACACGTAGGCTTGATGATGATAGAGATGGAACGTCTAGCGGCGATGGCATGCCTATGGTCTAACTTTTTTCGTTGTATATTTAGCTGTGTTATTATCTTTCGACGACTTTCGAGTCTGTTGGGTTATGTGCTCTCTTGCTGATCATACCCCCACTCTCCTTTCCCATATCCTACCATCTTCATTATTGTGTACGCAGTGAACCATGTAGCAAATTCTCAAGGGTTTCCTTTTCCGAGTCAAATCTATACCTCGTGTACAATTGCCAAGGCTTCGGTGCATGCGGTTGATTGCTATTTTCTCTCAATGCTGGTTGGCGTCTCGAGGCTTCGATCGGCCACTACCCCAAGGTTCAACTCGGAATTTGTAATTCCTGGATTTTGCATCCGTGCCGCCCAAAGCCACGTGATTGTAATATCGGCGCCAATGGCCACTCCGGCCGCTATCGCCCCCGGCGCTTATCCTTCTCGTTAACTGCACACTTGGCCATTTCACAAGGCAGGGCGAAAGCACAGATATCCTCGAGCGAGACACTGTAAAGCTGAAATTACGCTATTGATTGAGATTTCTGTTACTTCAGGTGTTAGGAACACGCGAAATCACTCTGAGTTGCAAGTTCCTGAACCACCAACCGTATCCAAAGTTTGTCATATTTACCACCCTGTCATGTCTGCCCATGAAGGAAGCAAAAGTAACCCACTTCAGATCACGGAAGGTATGTATCTCATCATATCCATGTACTAAGCGCACTCTCACGTACTCGTCCCCCTGTCTGTTCAACCCCCATACTTGCCGTTTGCCGTTCGTACAGATGAAGCAGCGGTGTATGACCGTCAAATTCGTCTTTGGGGCCTCGAAGCGCAACAAAGGTGGGTGCAATCTGTGTCTTACCGTTTACCTGGTGTGGTGGAATTTAGCGAAATCCCAGCTAGTCATAATGTATACGAAATGGGGCTAAATCATATAACAGGATGCGAAATGCGACCATTCTGGTGATCCGGTTAAGGGGTGTTGCAACAGAAACCATCAAAAATATCGTTCTGGCTGGCATTGGAAAACTGGTTATGGTTGACAGCGAAGATGTCAGTGAAGAGGACCTTGGCGCTGGATTTTTCTACAGAGATGAAGATGTTGGGAAAAAGGCACGTTGTGTTCTTCTCCTTCTCCTTTGCCTTGCTATGGTTGCGGACATTTTGAGGGTTTTTATCGGCGGTACTTGATCTAACTCCCCTGACAGAGAGTCGATGCAGCAAAGGCTCGGGTCGAAAGCCTAAATCCTCTCGTGACAGTTGAAACTATCTCGACGACTTCGATTCTCGGTGGAGAAGATCTGGATGGTTTGGTGCAAAACGTGGATTTAGTCTGTGTGACTGACTGGGATCGTGACAATCTTGTGAGTCTGTCTATTTTCGAGTTCTGCATCGAGCGTCGTAAGATCCGTTTTGTGTTGCTACTGTAGGTTCGAATAAACGAGACTTGTCGACGATTTGGAAAATTGTTTTATGCCGGTGGCACGTTTGGGCTGTTGGGTTATATTTTTTGCGATTTACTTAAACATGATTTTATCTCACCGTGAGTGTTTATGTCTCCTTTATTATTTTCCCTGTTCTCTCGATTTTGGTGCTGATGTTTACCCACCCACTAACAATAGGGATCGATCTGCACCAAAAGATGCGCCAAGAAGTGTGAAAGCGACCGCTCAGTACTCACCGCTCCACATGGCGTTGCGGCATCGATGGACGAATATGACGAAAAGGCAAACTAAGGAGCTAAATCCCGCGATATTGTTGACGATTATAGGTATGTGTTGAAGAAATTATGTGTGCCGAGATATGGCATTTATACGAGAGTGAAGCTATTTGGGAATACCAGTCGATACACCAGGGTGAGCTACCCGACGATGAAAAGAACGCTCCGGAGCTGGAGACGATCGCGAGCTCTATACTGTCAGCGGCTGATGTGAATAGTCAGGTTATTACACGCATTCCCCAGGAGCTCATCCAGTACGTTGTCTATTTTATTCTGTGGTTTATATATATTCCTAATTGTGATCGTGTACAGGACGATGTCAACGACAGCTGCGCACGAATTTTCACCCGTCTGTGCTGTTGTGGGAGGTATGTTGGCGCAGGATATACTGAAGGCGTTGGCCGCGCGCGAAGCCCCGATTGCGAACTTCTTTGCATTTGATGGTAACACGGGTGGGGGCACGGTGTGCAAAATGAACATGTAAATATGATATGCAACTAGTTTAATTCACGATGTGCAGTGGTAGTCTGAACACAACCCTATCAATGTACTTACAGCATAATGATGTCTTGGTGATACACGCGTGGATGCAGCATGGTGAGTTCTGCGGCAGAAGCGGGATACGGTCTCACACCGGGTTCGTCTAAAATAGTAGTGGTCTAACCGTGAGAGGATGTGGAGGCTGACTGACTGCGGCATGTCCAAGCCGGGAGCTGTGCCTCCCAGTGTCTGAACTTTCCTTACCGTCCTTCTCACCAAACGCCCATGGTCCCGCAGCAACGACGCCCGCCTCCATCAAGTGCCCAGGAGTATTACGCTGTCCCCCAAAGTCCTAAATCCAACAACATGCAGGGGGCTCAGGCGCCATTCAATCCATCACGGATACCTGTCCGCTCAGCTTCGGGGAGCAGCCAAATGCAGTCAGGTAGAGGCGCGATAGCACAAGGTGTCGCCAGTGGTGTCATTGGGGGCGGCTATGGTCCATACTCGGTGTGTCATCTCTACTAAAAAAGTCATGTTCAGTTAGCTAATTATCTCTTGAAAGTATAATCCTTCGTCTGCAAGAGACAATGGTGTTCACAATCCCTCTCGTTTCAGTGCTGCTCCCTCTGAGGTGTCGTCCGCGACTACTGGCGAAAAATACCCTGCTGGTCCTGGCCCTGTTGGCAATTCATCCACAGTGCCTGCGTTTGCGTGGGATACAAGGGATCCGGATCTCGACGATGCGCTGCACAATCCAGATCCTATAAGAGACGCTGCTTTGGACAGATCTTTTACACTATTCTCAGGTCGTGGATGGGCGAACGCTTCTGCTCTTTTTATTTTAGTAGTTGGGCTTATCACGCTCTTCGCTGGATATCCCATCATCCATTTCTACGAAACTGTGGGAAGCAATGGCCCAGGTTACAATCTTGGAGGAATTAATGCATCCGGGCAAATACCCCAATTACCAGGAATGCCCACTCTTCTTGACCCTCAGACACCATCATCAGCTCGTTATCGCACTGGAAGCGATGGTTTAACCTATGAACTTATGTTCAGTGATGAGTTTAATACCGATGGACGTACTTTCTGGCCGGGTGACGATCCATTCTGGGAAGCCGATAACTTTCATTATTGGTTAGTGCTCCGGCTCTAATCTCCCTGTTAATCCCATCTGATCAATGAATAATAATGATAGGCCTACGGGAGATTTGGAATGGTATGATCCATCGGTATGTCTCGTTATCTGAAACAGCGAGGTATCCACTTCTTATGGTTCTTCGACAGGCTATCACTACGCAAGATGGACACCTTGTTATCACTATAACAGAGCAACCTATCAATAATCTGAACTTCAAAAGTGGTAAGTACCTCACCTGTTTAATCTGTGTTTTTTGTTAAATTATTTTTTCAGGGATGCTTACCACCTGGAATAAATTATGCTTCACTACGGGCTACATCGAAATGTCTGTCAGTATGCCTGGTAGTCCCAATGGTCCTGGGTTTTGGCCTGGTAGGTCCCACAGTATATAGCGAGACCTTTCCCGCTGATTTTTTCAACAGCTGCCTGGACCATGGGTAATCTTGTGTGTCATTTCATACGCCTGTTTGATGAATGTACTAATCACAAGTCAATGTTTACAGGGTAGAGCAGGTTATGGTGCTACTACAGATGGTATGTGGCGAAACTGTACTTCTCATTGATTAAGCTCAATTTTCTTTGCAGGAACGTGGCCATACAGCTATGCTGCGTGTGATACCGGAACATTCCCTAATCAGACCAGTCCAGCTGGGGTACCCGCAGCTGCAACAACCGGTAGCCTCTCAGGCGGACCCTTAAGCTTTCAACCAGGTCAACGATACTCGGCTTGTACCTGTCCAGGTGGTGACCACCCTGGTCCTAGTGTAAACATTGGTCGAGGTGTACCTGAGATTGATATGTTCGAAACTGAAGTGAACGTATATGCATCGCCGTTCCAAGGCGAAGTGTCTCAGAGTATGCAGGTTGCACCATACAACTACCAATACGAATTCGACAATTCCACGCCCCCCACGACTTTACATGGCCAGGGAACCATCCTCAATTCATACACAGGGGGATCTTATCAGCAAGCTGTGTCTGCAATTACTCCCATTGACAGTGCAAACTATGGTGGGAACAACTTCGCCAGTTATGGGTTCGAATACTGGTCAGACCCGAGTAATCGAGGCGATGGATACATTACATGGTACAGCGAAGCTGAGCCCTCTTGGACTGTCACTGCAGCATCCATCGGACCCGACACAACTGTCGATATCTCATCACGTCTAATTCCCGAAGAACCTATGGTTAGCCACTAAAGCTTTACACGTTTATTTGCAAGCTGACGCCTTCTTTAGCATATCATCATTAACTTGGGGTTGGCACGTGCGTATACGTTGTTCATGTCTCAGGGAATACAATGTTTATATGTCATTTTTTCACTATAGCGTCCTTCCAAGAGCAAGATTATGCCGCTATGAAGTTCCCAACTTCGATGTATGTTGACTATGTTCGCGTATATCAGAGGCAAGGAGTGAACAACATAAACTGTGATCCGCCGAGCTATCCTACTGCTAACTATATACAGAAGTAGGTCATTTAGATTCGTTGTCCAACACCTGACTTATATATCACTGTGCAGCCATCTGAACGCTTACTCGAATCCCAACCTTACGACATGGGAGCAAGCAGGATATACAAGACCGCGGAACTCAAAGTACGATGGATGTTAAAGTGCTTGCCAAGTACTTTGTTCTCATCCATGATTTCCCACACACCATCATCACCTTCTACATACTGTACAATGCCTTACATTATTATGACGATCCCCAGGAATGGACTATTCGAGCTGTTATTACGAAGGACTCACTGGTGACATAACTTGTACTCATTAGCTCCATGTCTGTTACCATTTAAGACGATGACTGGTGCTTTGCATGTTGCAATAGTATTGTTTAGCACTGAGCCGCTGATCATAGACATTTCTAGTTTTGGGTGTACGAATTATGACCCCCTTTTACTAGTAACCGTAGTTGATATGTGTATGTTTGCAATGTCTCAAAGTCATGGTTGGCGTTTAATTATCGGTCTTGACTTCATTTGGACACTAGATGTGGCTGGAGTTGACTGGCTTGACCACTACTCATTCGGGGCAGGCGACGCAGGCCCGGCTGTTCAAACGCTCACGTCTACCACTTTAGGATGTATACAGCATTTAGCCACATTGCACTCACAGCCGGCTGGAATTAATTCAGAGATATGGTTCCTAGAGACTATCTCATTGTATTTCAAAAAAATTGCCACCATCAAAAATTGAACCAAAGGCCTTGTGGTCAGTCAATATTCTGAGTAGACAACTAAACCACTGAGCCACAAGATGAATAAAAATTATATTCAAGGTATTTAAATAAATGTATAAAAGTACCTGTACAGTGTGTACAAACTATACAAGTGGATTATTATGGTTTAGAGAAATCATACCTATGTGTTGGTTATGATATGGTTTTATACCACTATATTATTTTTTACCAATATGGTTTGTAGAAACTATATCTGAAATAGTATCTGATAACTATACAATAATATGGTTTTAGGTGCTATATTGTGTGAAATGGTTTTTATGCACTATTTTATTATTATGGTTTCTCAAAACCATATAAGTAGTATGGTGCTATAATACTGTTTGGATATGGTGTGGGGAAACTATATTGTTACACTTTTTCACAAAATTATTTTATTATTATGGTTTTGAGAAACCATATAAGTAGTATGGTGCTATAATACTGTTTGGATATGGTGTGGGGAAACTATATTGTTACACTTTTTCACAAAATTATTTTAAGTCCATTAAAACTAGACAACTTTATAGGCTTATAGCATATAATAATAAGACAATATATATAGTGGTAATAGTGCAGTGGTTAAATCTGGTTGTCTTGCTCTTACAATACCATGAGGCCTTAAGCTCAAATCCTGTATTTGTATTTTTATATATTTGTATTTTAGTTTAGTTTTCTGCAACCATATTGATATAGTATTATATAACCATAACATTTGCAATGGTATATCAAAACCATACTAAAAAAAACATGTATGGTGTTTATAAACTGTTTATCATAGTACAGTTTTATGCAACCATATTACCCAAATACAATATAGTTTCTATATTCTATTTATTGAAGTATGGTTTTGTGAAACCATATAATCTAAATATGATATGGTTCTGATACACTGTCTACTAAAGTATGGTTCTATGGAACTATAGTGTATATTATAGTATAGTTTTAATATACTGTTTACTGAAGTATGGTCCCATATAACCATATTACTATGCTACAGTACAGTCCTGACATACTGTTTCCTAAGGTATAGTCCTATATGATCATAGTAGTAATTTTACAGTATGATTTTAATATACTATATACTAAAATATGGTCTTATACGACCATATTACTGTACTATGGTTTAGTTCTGATACACTGTTTACTAAGGTATAGTCTTATATGACCATAGTAGTATGTTATAGTATGGTTTCAATATACTGTTTACTGAAGTACAGTCCCATACACCCATATTACTTTACTGTAGTATAGTTTTGATACACTGTTTACCCAGATATAGTCTTATGCAACTACATCACTAAAAACGGACATCCTTGCTATCTGTTTTCACTTACTGTATATCAGAACCAAAAAAGGTTTTGCTTGTTAGAAATATGTATAGCCGCTGTGAGACCTACCCAGTATACTGGTTGGTGACAAAGCTATATAATAGATTGGACAATATGGCATTACTTTGATTCCACCTGTAAAATAATCTACACAAAGCTGTGAGTTGGCTTATAGTATACAAATATGAGCTGTTGATGTAATGACTGCACCAAGTATTACGGTTCAAATGTAAAAATCAAACCTGTCAATATAAAAATGTCTGAATGTTTTGATCTTTTCAATAAATCAGAAGATATGACGCACACCTATAAAAAAATTATACACGAAGCTCAGCATGTATGTAAATGGGATCCTGATGCTAATGACTGCACCAAGTATTGTAGTTTGGGTAGGAAAATATAGCCATCAGTATAAGCTTGTCTGAGCACTTTGAGGTTCGAGTGCATAGTCGCATTGGCGCCGTTCAGTCCAACTAATCACTGAGGCTCGCGCTCGGGATCAAAAGTTCAAAGAAACACAAGGATCAAAGTTCCAAGCAAACACCAGTATATACAAGCTTTGTAGAATGGACATCTTGTTACACTATTACGCTAAAAAAAGAGGACCTGGTACCTCAGCTTTGTATTATTTTTCTGCAGAGAACAAGTCGAGACAAATCAGCAAGCAGAGATCACGAATAAAGACACCTACTGAATTTTCTCAGGCCAGTCAGTTTGTCGTAAATGAAGCAGCTCCTATCAATTAGATCCTCGGAGCAATATTCTTTTGGCCTTTTTGTTCCATGCATTGAAAGTGGATTCACTATACATTATTGGCTCACCCTTGATGTTGTGAAGGACAAAAATATACTGCAAAAAAGATGTTAGTATTGTCAAGCAGCAGTAGAGAGTGAGAATATACCGAGGCCATGATATTGCAGAGAAAATGAATCGAGACCTCTTTGAAATACATCCACCTATTGCCATCGAGCAACATTTCCTTCCTTCTCGTACATAGCTCCATCATCGGCTCTTTCAGCACTTGAGGGTTGAGGATACGAGGCTTGTTACTAGTCAGTAAGAACGTGAAGGAAAAAAAGACACACCCACCCCAGAACCATGATCATTGAATAAGAATTTGAAGTTGTGAATGCCAATCGAGGCCCTCTCCTTTGAGTATGCTGCTATGCTATGACCATCCATCTCCCTCTCTTCAACAATTGACTGTAGGGGGAAAATATGGATGACACCCGCCCTGATCTTGAGAGCGCAGATGTGCATCAGTTCAAACACAATATTGGTCCCTGCTAAATGAACGACGTCCAGTGCTATGGACGCTGGCATCTGTACTGTAGCAATCAAATATATGGGATGGATGATTCGAGAAGTGCAAAAGAAAACTTACGTATTTGTGTGCTTTGAACCATATCAATATCGTCTATGATGGTGCCCCTCTCCTGAGCAAACATCACGTCAACGCAGAATTGTTGTCGGGCAAAAATAAGGTGGTTTTGGTCTTTGACACTGTAATGGTGTACAGCCAATTGCTCTCTGACGTCCCATGTGATGTTGAAATCAGCGAGTGCATGCGCGTCCAAGTCTTCGTTGTGGTTGCTTGGTCCTACATCTGTGTTCGCTGCGGACAAGCTGGTATCTTGAGTATCTGGAGACCACACCACCTGAGACTCAGCTGACGCTATTGATGCTGTAACAAGATCTGATGGAACACTGGCTTCTTGGGAGTTGGGAGATACAGCTCGAGCAGGAATGAGATGAGAGGTGCTTAGTATACTAGAAAAGTCGTTAAACGAGACATTTTGTGATTGAAACCCCCGTATTCCATAGTTGGAGAATGTGTCGTTCATGTTGAAGTCCTGGCTGGAATCATTTCCTGGGAATCCGTGCAAGTCATTCAGTGGAGTCTGGGGTACTGCAACATGCGAGGATTGCAATATGAAGTGTTGGATGGCCGGGGAGAACATTGGCCCAAGACTTGTATTGTGACGCAAGTCTATAACAAGTTAATCAATATGGAACATCCATTATATTTTAAATGCTTACCGTATTCAGTGAGCAGAAGAAAAACAACCATTCTCGCTGATACAACATCGGGAGCAAGCATTGGTGGGGATGCAGATGTGTCAAACTGTGGACCTGAGGATGCTGGCTGGATCAAGTGAGTGATATTCAGATTCTGTTGATCTTGCGGGAAGTGTAAAAAAAAAAGTTCAAAATGAGTTCAGTGCTGACAGGGCTTTACATAGGTACTCACATAAATCAAGCAGTAAGAGATTGAGGACCTGGAGCAATGCACAATCAAAAACCTGCGTATCTGTGTTAGCGGCAGCCAAAAGACTGTCCAGATTGTTGGGATTATCTGTTACACCAAGAAGAAGTATTTGTAAGTGAACAACTTGACAGAAATGAGAAGACAGAACAAACTCACCCATAATTCTGTCCCTTCAAGGCAAGCAAAACCCGTTCGAACAATCTGCCAGCCCTACACAAAATCTTGATGGGGTACTTAGACCTGTGAGACAACCAACCAGGAAGGTACAAGTTGCGAGAGAATGCAGCTCGAGACAACATGTTCTCTGCCCCGCTAGTACTAATACACGGGGCTTATCTGAATGATCAGTAACGTGAGTGGCAATGGTAACGGGGAGGCTTTCCTATCCGGAGAGTTGGGCTGCATTACTAGTAGTAATACTAATATGAGTACTGGTCAATTTACTCAAGGGGCATCATGCTGTGACCATGATTGTATCATTTTCCGTAAAAGAGACAGACTTTACCTGCAGTTCCATTCATCATGATGCTGCAACAAACACTTGCCAAAAGGAGCCTTTTTGTGGGATCTAGCGGAACAGAATAATTTGTGGCGGTGAAAATGCCAAGTTCTTGGGTTGTGTGGCTGAATGTCCTCGCAGGTCTTGTTGGTTCTGATGGTGGTGGCTGTGATCCCACTGTACAAATCAAGATCCTACTGTCAACTGACCGCATCATGTTACAACACACTCTCCAGCATTATCGGTTGCACTTAATGTTAAACTCTCATCACTCACCTTAAATGCCCATTGCTCAGGTCAATTGCACGGTCACTGACAGATCTTATCAATTTGGCATATGCAGAACCAGAGGAGCCTTGAGTTGTCTGCCGCACTTACCAACTGGACTTACTGACTGGACAACACTTTGGAATCATGAGTCACCACATGCATTCTTTTCTGTCTTTCCCACCCCTGCTAATATTTAAACTCCTACCTTTTCCATAGTAGATGTTTTTTATGATGACTGGAATCATTTCAAGTTATCGTGGCGACAATTAATGAAATGAGCGCTGAGCAACAGAGGGGGCACTAAAGATAAGATTATTCTAACACTGTATGACTCATCATTCTCACTTTAGGACAGTTCAGTCGTCATGTCTCACCATTTTAATGTCCGCTTTCCTCCCCTATAAATCACTGGAGCTTGTGTGTATTAAGTTACGTACACTACAGGTTTATATTCCCCCTTTTCCCTTCAAGTTGTATCTGCAATAGACATGCAAAACACTTCAAAGCCCTATTTAGTATCACCACAAGGGAACTTGGACTCCTCGAGACCTTATAACTATAGTAGTGCATCATCACACACTTCTTCACATTGTTCTGATCCTCCCATGACACCCAACCAGAGGAATTATAGTCAGCACAGTCAGACGGTTACTCCAAGTGACCCAAGGCATTCTCCTGCCTCGGCACCTCTCATGAATGTGGTAGTGTGTAGTGCAATCCAAAAAACACTGGTAAAGCCCTTCTATGTACATTATGTGTTACATCATGCTAACATCAAACTTTTTGGCAGCAAGATTCGGAAAAAAAAGCGGGCAAATCCGACGCCGGCGAAGAAGAGCAGAAGGAGTGGCTCTAGATTGCTCGTAATTCCTGACAGCAGCTGGGGTACTACCATGCCATTGCACATACTAAAGCTGAAGAAGCTGAAGAGCTTGCTGCTATGTTCTGTGCCTCGGCACGGAATTTACATTACCAGTATGTGAAGGCGCATACACTTGCTGGTCGCATCAACATGTCCTTGACAATGAATGAGGGGGAGAGCTCATCCGATTTGGAGGACACTGATGCTCTGGACTTGAATTGTCTTCACTTGGGCATCAGTCCAGGACTTAGAGTGTAGGCTGACTTGGAGTTTTTTCACATCAGAAAATTTGTAAATGTTGGTCGTTTCATTTGTCAATTCTGTCTATATGTTGCTGTACCTGTAGCAGTACTATTACTTATGTGATTATTGAACATTGTAAAGTACTTGTGGTATTATATCAACTTGTCCTATTTGAATCATTGCATAGAAGGTCCAAAGTTTGGCTCAGTAAGTATGCATCAAGTGTGGGAAACCTGTGGTTGTTTCAAGTTGAAGCTCAGAGTGGTACATGTTGTGACCATCTGTCCGACTCTTCAAGCTTCATCCCCAGAAAGTTACTTCAAGTTATGATCTGAAGATATAAATCGTATCAGCCTCTGTGTTTGGCTCTTACTAATTTCAATTCTTATGGGTTTTGTTTGCATCCCCTCTTGTTCCAGGGTTTTTCAAGATCAGCGGGGTTTGACCAAACATCGCAACATTTGTGAAACCTACCAAGAGCATCAGTAAACAATCCTTAAAAAGTGCAAGGACAAAGCTCAAGAGCTTGATTTGCTCAGGGTGGCTAAAAAGGCGCAGCTGGATATGAATTCAACCGCATCACAGTCAACTCACGGTGCTACTGCCTTCAAACAAGCTCAAAATAGCCAATTGTGGCCGTACATCATGCTGTGGGGCCAATGCATACCCTTTTTCTCTCCAACATGTGCCCAATATATGCAATTCTCATAACAGTGACCTTTCCTTACTATCTCCGCCACCAGTCCCCCAAATCTCTGACATGGCTGGTTCTTCCCATAATGACAGTTTGTTACCTGCTTCCCAAACCATGCACAAAACTATCATTGGCACATCCAGGACTTCAGCAACAGCAGATGAACAAACTGTTCTGGGAGATGATTTTCCAGAACATTCAAGTCCAGGTCTTGTTTCTGGTCCGGTCGAGAACAATCAGAACATTGTTCGCAGAGTCCTATTGCATGTACACAAATTCTTCTTCACACGTGCCAATCATTTTGGTATTTTTTGCCAATACTGCCATGCCCTATCATACAACCCTGATTCTGTCCATGATTCAGGTGATTACGAGGATGCTTCCGAGTCTCTGGATTCATCACTTGAACAAACCCCTCAACTGAACACCCCTACAAGGGAACCACCTTGGCCGTTCTTGAATGTGACAGTATACTGTCTCATACGCTGGATGAACACGGGAAACAGCCAGAAGTTGGAGGGTGAGATAGATTGACTTATGAAAGAGGTACTCAGAGCACCCGATTTCAATGTTGAAGACTTGACGGACTTCTGTGCTCAACGAGAAGGGACAAAGTTTGATTGCTCAGAAAGGTCGGCTTCAAACACAAGCGCGCTTGGTGGTGACGGCTGGGTGGAGAAACCTGTTGAGATTTCAATTCTTTTTTGGTCCAAATGTCCATCTGGTAATGGAAGAGCATTTTTGGTCCCCGGACTGCACTATAGGAGACTTACATCGGTAATCAAGGCTGCGTTCACCGAGAAAATGGCAAAGCATTTCCATCTTGTGCCTTTCAAATGTCTTTGGATGTCAATCAGCCCACCTGACAATGTACCTCCTGAAAAGTATGAATACAACGGGCACATTTACGATGAGCTATACACTTCTGATGCCTGGATCAGAGAACATGATAACCTTCAGAAACAGCCTCCAGAGCCTGAGTGTAACTTGAAGCGCGTAATTGCTGGGTTGATGTTTTGGTCAGATTCCACCCACCTGGCGGACTTTGGGTGTGCAAAGGCCTGGCCTCTGTATCTATACTTTGGTAACTTGTCAAAGTACCTTTGCGCGAAGTCTCAAACTGATGCTTGTCATCACGTTGCATACATTCCGTCCGTCTGTGAGCATCATTCCGCCTGTTTGATCTGGTACGGTGTCAGCATTTTGATATTTTCTACAGTTACCGGATAGTGTTCGGGAATTTGTTGCATCTTTTAGCAAGGTAACCAAGAATTCAGTGCCTTTGTGGGCGCACTGTCGACGCGGGTTGATGCACGAAGTTTGGAGAGTATTGCTAGACAATGAATTTTGCCATGCTTACCAGCATGGTATTGTCATCCAATGCATTGATGGTATATTCCGCTGAATATATCTACGCATATTTACTTATTCAGCAGATTATCCCAAAAAGTGAGTGGATAAATCCTCGGGCCTTTCCATTTCTTTCAGTTTGACAAGATCCTCATATTCCTTAAATCAGGGTATTGATTGCAACTATACGCGACATGGGTCTTTGCCCATGTCCACGTTGTTTTGTTCCCAAGTCAGAATTCAGTCTACTCGGCTTGTGCAGAGATCTTTCATTGTGTGTAGATTGCATACAGTCCTACCTGTTGGATAAAGTTCAGAATGCTCAAAACTTAATTTATGAAGGGGGTTCACCTGTCAATGGACGAGCTGTTGAGGGATTTCTGCGAGAACATTTGTTAGTCCCTACCATCGTGCACGTCATTACTTTCACAATTCTATTCAAGAGTCTAATCTGCAAAGTAGAATGTGTTCATCAAAAAACTATCTAGGTTTGGCTTCAATCTATTTCCAATACTAGTAGTGGATTTAATGCATGAATTTGAGCTTGGAGTATGGAAATCCACCCTGACACATTTTATTTGGCTTCTGCATGCTATAGGGCCAAACAGTGTGATTGAACTTGATCAAAGGTTCGTTGTTTTCCACTAACATGGGACTGATGGCCTCAACCCCCACAGATATAGGCAGGTACCTTCTTTTGGTGCTGGTACAATTTGACGCTTCACAAGTAATGTCTCCAAAATAAGGAAATTAGCCGCTCGGGATTTTGAGGATATATTACAGGTGATTAATTACTCTGACGGCCAATGCCCAGCATTATATTGACTATCTCTACCAGTGCTCCATACCTGTTTCTGAAGGATTATTCCCAGAGGATCATGATTCTCGAATAATGATTCTGCTTTATCGCTTGGTGGAATGGCATGCTCTTGCCAAATTGTGCCTACATACAGATTCTACGCTGATGTTATTAGAACAGTCAACCACAAAAGTTGGGAAGGCTCTGCATAACTTTCAGAAGAAAACCTGCAATGCTTTCTGCACATTGGAGCTACCTCACAAAGTTACAAAACACCTTCGGAGGGACCAACGTATGGGGAAAGACAATACGTAGTCTAATACACGGAAAGAAAAAAATTTCAATTTATTAACCTATAAGCTACACGCACTCACAGACTACGTTAGCATGATCTGCATGTTTGGAACAACGGACTCTTACACTACACAGATAGTATGTGCTCAGTTCAAGATTATTTGCTTACCATAAGCTTATCTCGACTTTGAAGGGAGAGGCAGCCCATTGTCTAGTCAAGTGTTTCTATCGGCAAACTAACAAAAGGCAGGTACCCAGGCAGTTATCTAAGCTTGAGCGTTGCCACACTTGAATCTGTCGCACGCAGGATATCTTGTCACGAGGGGAAACTGGACATCCGCACAACATAGCATTCTCAGAGAACAATCCTCTGCTGTCCACTACAACCAATGAACACCATCATATTACCATCTCGCAGAATTTTCCACTCAATCTCTTTACATTCATCAGCCAACACCTCCTTGTATTTCCAGATGATCCAGCAGTCCAAGTGAGTAAAATTTGCCTCATCTGTTCTCATTTTTTGTCTTATACTCTTCCCAAATAGTCTTTCGTACCAAGACTAAAGGACCATCTTCTTTCTCGGATCTTGCAGTGTACGTATGACGGTGATGAGTATATTTACACAGACAATGATCGGAATAATGTACATATTCTCGACAATCAGATTTATCAAGGCAAGGTCTTGCGCATCAACTATACTACATATGACATGCGTCAAGAGCATGATTTGGTGAATCCAAGAACTCGATACAATGTCATGGTTTTGTCCAGGGAAAAGAAGCAGGGTGGACACTCTTATTGGTACGCCCACGTTCTTGGAGTGTTTCATACCCAGGTTCTCCATGTGTCCTTGGGTTTTAAGGACAATTGTCCACAATGCATGGAGTTTCTATGGGTCCGCTGGTTAGGCCTGGACTTGGAGCATTGCTACGGCTCCAAGGTAGCTTCTTTACCTAAAGTAGGATCCGTCCCACAGGAGGAAATAGGAGCCTTTGGTTTCCTTGATCCATTGCTTGTTGTTTGAGCCTGTCACTTAATCCCAGCCTTTGCCGATGGTCCTTCCACACACTTACTTTGAGAGGGCCCTTCAGCAGGACAATTCGTCGGGGAGAGCGATGATTGGGCCGCATTTTATGTAAATATGTGAGTTTTGATTTGCATTTTATATTGGCGCTGCTCTGTCACATGTCTTCATTCCAGTTTCGTCAATTGGGATATGTTTGTGAGATACATGCACCAGGGAGTTGGTCATCAAAACCTCCAGGTTGGAAATGTCAATATGAGAGACGATAACGCATTGGCAGTGGACGGACTGAGGATCTTGACTTGGATTTGTCCCAAAACCAAGGCCAGGCAATTGATCAAGACCAACATTTAGCAGAGGATGGACAAGTTGAGGACCAAGATTACAATCAGATAGATCAGACTCAGTACAAAGAAGTTATTGAGGACAATGACAGCAACATAACGGGACATTCACACTCAGACGATGAAGAAGAGTTTGAATTTGAAGTTGAAGTTGGAAATCCTGATTGTGAACTCCACAAGGAAGGGGAATGCACCTGTGATTCAGTTGTGGAAGAGGACAGCTACTATGCTTCGTTATAGACATACATAACAGTGTATACATTCTCATAAAGGTGCATATACCTTCCGCTCACGTAGATGATCTTATTTATCAGCTCACTATTCTTGCAATCTCAGTATATTCATTCTGGTTGGATAGCTACATTCTGTTCTTACAATCAAACTTCAATACAGTGTTTTCTACAGCCAGGGTGCACGGTGTTACAGCTACTTTATCCAGGTACAAGAAGATTGTGAGTGCACGTGTATAGTCTGTGTCATGCTGAAATAGTTTTAATTTCTGTGTATGCATGCACACACAGCCTCTGACATTCTCTGTTGTACGTCCAGAGCCAGTGAATGATTTAATATGTGGCAGTACAGTTAAAGTGAAGCTACGGTTCGTGTTCCAACTCTGTTCTGTTCTTGACCAAAACTGATAAATCCGACACTTTTCCAGATTCACTCAACTCGAAACCTTTACTCAGCGGAATCATGTCTTCATGAGTTCGAAAGAACAAGCAGTGCCCTGGCCATCTCATAGCTCTGTGCTCGTCCAGACTCGTTCTCTTACCTCGGTCTTTTCGCGCTGATATCTCCCATGTCTATCAGGTGCTTAGTGTGGCTCAGAAACTTATTCCCCACAAGTATTACATGCAAGCATTGTATAGAGCCTTTTCTAGGCTTGTCATGGGGCACCGCAGTCGCAGGTTAAGAACACAAGAGGCTTGGCTTTTAAAGAAGAGAGTACAGCAGAAGAGGTTGATATGGGATATAATCTTCGATTTGAAACAGGCCAGGCGCCGTGTTCTCAAGCTTCATGAAGAGCTCCTTGAGTCTACTTCTCATATGGCAGAGTATCGAAGGAGTTGTGTTAGTACTTTGTTGACAAGGTATGCAAATATCTTTCTTAATATTCCTTTTATTGACGCTATAACAGTGAGTAACAGCAGAGAATGTTGCATACTTGTCCTCTGTATTCCATGTCTTCATTCACCAATGGGTAATACTTATACATTGCATACTACCATATCCAAAATGTAATATTTGTGTCACTCGCTGTGAATAGAACGTGATGTGATATGAAACTTTGAATCTCAGAAGGACGCGACAAACTGCACAGCAAGGGGAACTCAATGCTCAGTACTGATCAGATGGGAGCGGATAACTCACATGTTTGCTTCAGACTGTACAGCAAGGGAAGGTGACTGAGTTCCACTGTTATCAATAGGTTACACAGCTCAAAAATGCGGTATAAATACAGAGTGACCCATTTTTGTCCCACATCAGCAATCAACATGCCACTCCAGCCTGCTGAGTTTTTCTGGCCCTTTGATTCGGGAGTCAACCCAGGCTACATTATGGACTACTACACCTCCATCAACTCAACCCAGACCGCCGCGCTTCCGGCGAGATCTGACTAGTACACCTCCAGCGACTCAACCCAGACCACCTGGCCTCCAGCAAGATCCAACTAGTACGCCTCCCTCAACTCAAGCCAGCCTGAGACCGCCGTGCTTCCGAGGTCATGACGATAGTGGGTCAACGTACCGAGACCATGAAGGCAACTCGGACAGACAATCTCCTGTGGATCAAAGTGACGATCAAGATATCAAGGCCTCTCAAGTGGCTGGAGCAAAAAGGTACATAGCAATGCTGGAGGATGAGCTTGAAAAGCTCCATAGTGGCTTGAAGTGCAAAATGTGAGTATCATTGATAAAGGATCAGCTATTACTGCAGAACGCTGACCCGGCACCGGCTTATTGATAGTGAATCTAATGGTGATTGCTATATTAACCAAGGACGAGCAATTCAATGTCTTGTGTCTCTTTTTGAGTCCATCAACAATATTGTTGGTGAGCAGGACAGGAGGGCCATGTTAGACGATGACGAGTCATCCATTGAGCAGAGCATTCTACCGAGTAAGTTGTTATCTTTACACTATCGTGTTCTGAGTTGTAAGTGCTGAATATTTGACCATATACTCTAGTGAAAACTGTCTGTATAGAGTTTATCAAGAGCTACTGATATATGTTCCTACGCTCAAGATAAAGCTATCAGATCCCAAGTTCACCACCAAGGACCAAAATGCACTCTTTCAGAAGGTTCTCTTCATCCCGATAGTGCTATGGGTCACTGATCTTATCAGCAAATATATTAGCTTAGGAAAGGGGCTGACGGTGCCCAAGGTGATGATGTGGGGAACTTAAAATCAATTATTGTGTCCTGGATTGCAGAAATATTCTCCGTTGCCGATCTGACTCTGGATGCTAGCGATAAGAGTAGCTGCGGCTTTGCAAACGATCATACTGGCCACCTCCTGTGCCCCATAGAATACGATTGGAGTGACTCAAAGTAAGCATGAAATATTTACTGTATTCTGAGTCCACCACATCTGATCGAACATATATTGCAGAGTTAAAACTGGTATACATGATCATAACCCAGACTTCTTAGTGACGGCGCTCATGATGCCTACCTTCTTGTATGAGAACTATAAAATGAATGCTGATGACATGGAAGAAGGTTTATTCAAAAGCACATTGTTGTTGAAGGTCTTGCCTTCCTTCTCATGATGCTACTGTCTTACTCATTCTCCTGTAGACATTCAAGTTTATCTTTACCTCCCCTTCATCAGCGAGGGGCATGGTAGAGAATGACTCCTATGTTTCCATGCCTACTACAGGTCAGTCAGTAGGTATAATAACTTGTATTGATGGCTAATAATCTTGGTATAGTTACGTTTCATATTATCAAATGTGGGATCATAGCATCCAATCGATGGGGATTTTGACTACAAAGAGTTCTACAGGTTTATTGCTGATTTCCTTGAGATGCCCCCAGGTCCTGCCAGCAAGAATCGTGTTAACGTGTTATTATTATGGTGGAATCGGTAAGTGCTCTACTTACCTCAGGCTGTGAACGCTGCTAATCAACTCCTTTACTTCTGTAGAAAAGTTTTCGGCCCTCATAATGCTAGCAACTACAGCCCCCAGGATTACGCAAGGATGTTGGTGTCGAAGCTTGAGGCACAAAGAGTTGCTCAAGAAAGTATATTGTTGATCTAACTGGATTTTCCATTGTATCCATACTTTATAAGAGACACTCATGTATATTACAACTTTTGAACTAATTAATATCGTGATTTAATATTACCATTCAGAACTAAGTGATAACAACATGAATGAGTAGTTCTGATATTCACAATGGATATGCAAAATTCTGAGAAATCAACATTTAGACAAACATTGCGTATCACCTCAGCATCTGACAGCAGATTTAGAGCAGGAGCAAACTTGCAACGAGCTGATATTCATATCGTCATATTGATAGATATTGCACTGATGAGGCTACACCATAGCCGCTTTGCAGATTCTCTACATAATGTTATTGCTATACAGAAAGTATTGATGATAGTTAGCCCACTTATAAAATGAACACGTATGTTTAATGGGATCAGCCAACAATCCTATCTCGACAAGACTTTCCAAAGGCCCCATAAGATTCTCAGTGGTTGGCATTTAATTGCAAACAAGAAAACAAAAAGAAGACTATGTATGGATGCTACTAACAGGAGCTTGTGTGTAGATCAATAAAATCAATATCCACTTTCGGAAATATCTTCAGCCTGGCAAACCTATAGCAGGCCTTGACATGATTTTGCGATGGTCACAAAAAGCCTTCTTATACAAACTACAAGCACTCTGGGGACAGTTTGATCAAATAACGAGAAAAAATCAAGAGATTGGTAATATTAGCTCAACAATATTATTAGAGACAGCGCTACACACAAACCTGTATATAATGCGACAAATGACAATATCGACCAAACTTTTCACAATTCACTCGAATAAACAAAAGCAATTCAAAGATTGGTAATATTGATTCAATGAAACCATTAGAGACAATGCTACTCGCAAACCTGTATGTAATGCAACAGATTATAATGTCAACCAGATTTTCCCAAAGTTACAATTTGTTTCCCCTCCGTAAACCCTTAGAAGGCTATATCATAATTTTCATATTTATTTTAGTGACTTTATATATTGCCCGCATTATAAAGCTCAGATATACCTTGACAAAAATTTTCCATTTTTAGTGATGTATAGTAGTGTATTACAGTATGGTTTTACCACACCATTTATCAAAGTATAGTTGTATATATCCATATCACTATGGTATGGTTTTAATACCCTGTTTCCATGGTATAGTCTTGGAAAACCAAATTGTTACATTACAGTATAGTTCCAGTAAACTATTTATCTAAGTACAGTTTTGTGCAACTATATTATTACTTTTGGATATAGTTTATACAGCCCATATCAGGTAGCATTCATATGGTGTGTATAAGCCAAAGTATATAATTTGGTTTGTCTGAACCATATGAATTAATTCCATCGGGCTGTGAACAATATCTGGCTTTAGTCTGTATACCATTTACAGTGTGGGAACGTGAGCGTTTGAACGGCATGCCATGTGTAGGCTATCCGACTCATTCTTACTAGTAGTGCCATCAGTACGCTACCACGATTTGGTCCAATACAATCACCGTGACTCGCGAGTGCAGGTAAGAATTTGACTAGGAAATATACACTACGATCTTCCATTTTCAACCGTCACCTCCGAGTCTCCGCTGCATGTTTTGCATCTAATCTGTGCTTGCAATTCTTACATGACCTGAGACCAATCGCGATCTTAACACGATGTCTATCGATCTGACATTGGACCGAGTCCGTTTACTGGCTTCTCATCTACCCCAGTTCAAACGACTTACTTGCCATATCGCTGGCACCAATGGGAAAGGAAGCGTATCTTCCATACTATCGTCAATCCTGCATTCAGTTTTCACTGTGGGTCGTTACAATAGCCCTCATCTAGTCTCAATCTATGACTGCATCACGATCAACAATAAACCTATCAGCCCCGCTACATACGCAGCTGCGAGAAAGGAAGTTGAAGAAGCAAATGATCGGTTTGATACGAAAGCGAGCAGTTTCGAGCTGCTTACGCTGACAGCGCTGTTGATTTTTGAACGTGCGAAGCTGGATGTTGTGGTTATTGAAGTAGGCCTGGGGGGACGCTTGGACGCAACGAATATTATACCAGACGACGCTATTCTCGTGTCGGCTTTAGCTAGTGTGGACCTGGACCACCAGGCATTCTTGGGGAGCACTGTGGAGGCCATCGCAAAGGAAAAAGCAGGCATAGCAAGGAAGGATAAACCCTTTGTTATGGGCGTTCAAAAGCATGCCGGGGTAGAGCAAGTCGTCAGGAGTACTGTGAGCGACGTGGGTGGTGATTTTATTTCAGGGCAAGCTGTGCAGACTCGACCATGGGACGAATCGATCGACGGTCCTGAATCGCGAACGTTCTCGCTATCCGCTGAGCCTTTCAAAAAACCACCAGCGCAGCCGATTTCATTTAACATTCCCGTTTACCTTAGTGACATTCTCGCACTTTTCCCACTGCATGGCAGACATCAGCTCGACAACCTCGGTTTAGCGCTGTCTGTAGTTTCAACTATACTCACGCATCCATCCTGCAGGAAGGCCATAGCGTTTCATATTCGATGCGAGTTCACTATGGATACTATAGCTCGTGGGATTGCATCGACCAGTTGGCCTGGTAGACTTTCTTTTCATACTATAGGTCCTGGTGCAGTCTCTTCACACTTTCAGCAAATCACACGTCCCTTGCATACATTAGTCGACGGAGCCCATAATCCCGCTTCATCTGCGGCTCTAGGATCCTACGTTTCAGATCTCGTTTCTCTTGCGACACGCTCTCAGGCTGCAGATTCGCAAACGCAAGCTGTGATACGCTTGACCTACGTTCTCTCTCTATCCGATTCTCCCCCGAAGACACCGAAAGAAACTCTCACTCCATTGTTTGATATCAAGCATCCCGCTGGATCATCATTACAGCTGAATGTTGCAGTACTTCGGTTCACTCCACCGGAAGGAATGCCGTGGGTTAAATCAGTGTCTCCTGCACTGCTCCGAGATACGATCTGTGCTGTCGCTCCTGGCGTGGAAGTCTGGTGTGCAGGAGATGACGAAGATCCGCGAAGTGGGTCACTCGTTCGGGCGTTGGCATGGGCAGCAGGTCGCGGGGAGGGGAACGATGTGCAAGAGCTGGTCATTGTAGCAGGGAGTCTTTATCTTGTTGCAGATTTCTACCGACTGTTAGGGGCGGGAACAACAGTGTAAATAATGGGTGTATAGAATGGGGTGTTCTGTATACAATGATGTATCATGTACTTGTACCTGTCCTGATGAGATCCAGAGCAATACGATCCTGAGTGGTCCGGGTTTCTGATACTACAGCCACCCAGGCAGCAGTGTGGCTGAGGAACATGCTGCATTTGGTATCGATGCCTCGAGTGCGGGCCTGTCACGGAAGGCTCAGGATAAGGCGGCTACTTTTGCTGTGAGCCTGCCCACCACTGTGTCCTCAGCGAGCCACATGTACAACTCCAAAGACAGAGGAGACATCAAGTCTTTGCATGTCGCCTCTTCTGGTGTCGGGGCTGCCTTGAACCACAGAGATGCATCCAGCTCGTGAGTACTTCATTCGGGCCATCGCCCTGCCTTGAGCATATTGTCATATTTCACTCCCAATCTCGCAGAAAACCAATATGGAAAAATGCTTCACCAACTCTAATACGTACTCCCAATTCTGTGAGCAACTTTCCGTTCTCATCCAGATCCACGTCGTTTATCCTCAACTGTCATCCGACTTAGAACCACACCAATAGAGACTCGTCTGCAAGATATGGTCGGGCCTCCAACTCCGTGGGTAACCTTTCTATGCGGTACAAGTCCGCGTATACGTGACTTTGTCCTGACTGTATCCTGACCAGATATATGGAGGCATTTCCAATCCCGTGAAGCTCGCTCGTATGCAAGATAATCTTTATGCTGGGAACCCAACTGCAAAAAAGACGGTTCTTGCCTATAATATATTTCCTGACACGCGACCACCCAAACGTCCAAAGATTGACTCAACCTCCTACGCTTCTTCCTCCGGCAGTGGTCAGAGGTCAAAGGACTCGAATATGTCTTCGAGGCTATCAACCGGTTCGTACGGAACCCACCAGGTCCACTTGTCAGATCCAGATATTGAAGAAATTGAACGGCCATCAGCCAGCTCATCGAAGCCGAACAGTGGTTACAAGCGCTCATTTCATAACGCTGATCTCGTGGTGGTCGATAGCGATGACGACACAGACAAGGGAGTTGTAGTTTCCCGGACCAACGTTTCATCACCTGACCCTCTTGTGCTCGAACCTTCCACATCCACCATCCCGCATCGGCGCAAACCTGATTACTCACACCCTTCTGACATACAAATGAAGTCCTCTCACCGCGAGGCTATACCTTCCATGGCAGGTCCTAGTAAACATGCAGGCGTCAAGGAAATAGATTTGGAAGACTCAGACTCTATACACTCCTTCCCAAGTGACGATAAACCTTCGCCCGATGCAACTGCTGGACCACCTCAATCCGGACATGCCAGCACTATACCTATTGGTATTGTACAGCAAGGGGTGCGACGTTATGAAGGAGGTCCTTCCGAAGTATACAATGCCCCGCGAATCAATCTTATTGATAAGCAAAAGGGGCATACCCTTACAAGTAGAATGAAGGCCAAGCCGTCGTCAAAGGTAAGCTGTCTGATGATTTACTCAATGAAAAAAATGCTTAACATGTTTTCAGGGTGGATCGACGTCGACTCATCAACAGGATCCCATCGCAACGTCTGCTTCCGGTTTCACCAAGAGTCAAATACCTCTTACCAAGCATGAACCTATCAACCTACCACTCAGAGCTTGGTCGTATGGGATGAAGCTATTTATATCGGAGGACAAATGCGAATCTCCTCCCTGTTTTAGTTACAATCCCAAAAACTTCCAGCTTGAGATATCATGCCGCAAACCATATTATAAGACTACCTTCCAACTGGACAGAGATGTAGATTCAGTAACTGTGCGTCTATCACTCGTTTATTCGAGTTTTCACGACTGACGTGCTCATCAGGTCACGCAAAATGGCAATCAACCTCTCCAATATCCAGTCGTCATTCAATTCAGGTCTACAATCGCAACTCGTAAGCGGTCTGAGGAACTACACGAAGATTTGTTTAAAGCAGGTATCAAAGTTGATTTTCTTTGATATATCGCGTTCATAGTTTATTTCCAGGGTCAAAGGGTCAGGATGGCAAGCTAACTTTTCAATTTTACGAGGGACACAAAAGTTGGTCCTTGACATGGTATATTACCCTGCTTGAATTTCTACGGAAAGCTATCAGCGAGTGTTCATCTGTAATGTAAATTCACTATTTTCAGATAGTGTGTTCTTTTATCGATGCTTAGCTCCAGACCCAGTGGTGCTGCTGGGATTTGGGAACAGGTTGAACGGGCTATGGAACTAAAAGAAGAACGTGAAATCAGGACAAAAAGTACCTTGAAGACACGCAGATCTTCCTCTGAAGAAGCTGTAGTTGAGCCTTCTAAGCCCCGGCCAAAAGCTAGACCTACAGGGTACAGTTCCCTGTCTTTTGTTATACTAGATCTTATTCATAGAGACTTGAAGTCTGTTATCTAGGAAATTAAGCCAACCGGTATCCGACGCATCGCTTCGTAGGTCAGGTCGACAGTCTACATCTGAAAGTGCCAGACAGTCACTATCGTCGGAACCAGATGAACTGTAAGGTTTTACATTTATATACGTTTTTCACTGGCTTACAGCCTTGACATAGGATCCTGATGTACCCTCCATCTGGAACTGGCGCACTGAACATAATGAAGACCGACCTAAATCGTTTGCAGCCTGGCGAATTCCTTAACGACACATTGATTGAATTTGGTCTCAAGTAAGATGACTTACCATACAATTGTACTGGCACTGACTTCTCTCAGATTGTGGCTTAATGAATTACGCATAAAAGATCCCGAATTTGCAGATCAAATCCATGTCTTCAGTTCATTTTTTTACAAGAAGTTAAATAGGAAAAAGTAAGCTGTCCATTACATCGATCAACATCAACTAAACTAAATTTGCATTGATGATCATCCCTCAAATCTAGTCTCGAGGAAGGCTACCAAAGTGTCAAGAAATGGACCTCGAAGTTTGATCTATTTTCGAAGAAGTATATCATCGTGCCCATAAACGAACAGTAAGTATCCTCACCATACTATGAACACCTCACTCAACCCTCATTTCGCTCAGTATGCATTGGTACCTTGCAATCATTTGTGACCCTGAACATACATTACTACCTCCACTTCCACCAACACCATCCAAGGTCATATCCACAAGAAGAAGGACGCGGCAAATTGATGATATAGAAAAGCATCCGCTGGACTCTACGCCTCCTCAAGGACCAGCAGACGATGATGTTCGCATGGAAGACATACCACGCTCACCATCACGTGATGCCCCAGATGAGGAGATGAAGGAATTGGATGTATTCAAGGATTCTTGTTCTATTAGCTCGTTGACACCGGATGGCAGCAAGCCAGTGTCCGTATCATCTTCAGACGGCGGTGAAAAACTTTTTACCGAAAGCTCTGACGTCGATATTCCCGACCTAAATTATCCTTCGCCTCAATTGCGCTCCCGTTCCATGGAAATTGATATTGATGTTCCCGAACACGACGTCATCAGTTTGAGTTCGAAGAAGGATTCTTCACTCTCAATTATATCTGACTCAAGCACATCAAGAGTCGATGAACTATCAGAGGCTACCACCCCTAATTCTCGAGCTATCTCTGCTAGTTCCTTTTACGGGTCCGCTTCGAACAGGAAAGGGAAGCGGAAAGCAAGCTATGCTGATGTGGTTGAAGTGATTGATGAGAGTGTTGACGATCAGAGACAAGAGGAAGAAGTGGATGAAATGTTGACTGTCTCGACCACAAGTGAGAAGGAACCCCCTGTGTAAGTTTATCCGCTTTTGTTTCTATCCATTGACTCTAGTAACATAAAAACACGCAGAACTTGCGTTTTCACCCTTGATTCTCTTGGCTCGCGGCATCCCCAAGCTTTGAAAACTCTGAAGCAATATCTTAAGATGGAAGCTAAAGACAAGAAGAATGCTGGAGAATGTAGAGAGCCCTTTGGTAAAAATGCCCTGGTGAGTGCTATTGCACTTTGCAAACAGCATTTTAACCTCATATCACACTACAACAGGTCCCTATGCAACCTAATTATTGCGATTGTGGTGTATATCTTCTTCATTTCGCGATGACGTTTATGAAGGATCCTGAGCGACATTGTCGTAATGTTCGCGTATGTTTGGTTTCCTAACCTGGCGAGAGATAACAACTAACAGCGGTATCATTAGGAGAAAAAGTCGTCTTCTGGTGTCGAGCGCAAAGTTGTGTGGGAGGAGAGTGATGTAGGGTCATTCCGGGAAAACCTTGCATCGCGAATTCAAGAGCTCTCAAAGGTTTGGAAGGCGGGGCGAGCCGCGAAAGAAGAGGGAAAAAACAAGGGAAGTGAACACAGGAAACCATCGGCTGATCAAGACAAAGCCGTTTCGTCTGATAGTGAAGTCGACATCGTGGAGGACATCTCAGCGCCAGAAGTCGTAGCACCGCCAAAGCCCAAGCAGAAACCAGCCGCTCGAATGCGTGGGTGATGCATGAATTTGCTTTAGTATTGTATCTCCTTTCTTCCTTTCTCTTTGGTTCCCAGGCATCGATCATCTTCATACGCATTATCTTTCTTCGTCGCAGGGCTTGCTACAGCTATGGCATTCAGTATAATTGGTCACCATACCCACCCTACAGTGCTCATAATTCTCATGCATTTATTACTCTAGTTCCTATTCCTCCCCCCAAGTCATTAGAATCACTTACAATCAATATATCAAGTTGCATCTTCGATGAAGAGTTTCTGAAAGCTCTCGGACTAAATATAGCGCGAATGTTAGTGCTTGAAGAGACCAGTTTTTCGCCCTGGCAGTACGGTTATCGATAGGTATTCACATTTGTATTGAAGGAATAAACAGGCATAATTTTCAATAATCCTGGACCAAGCACCAAAAATCTAATATCCGTGGAGATTAACTCCTCGTGGTAGTAATGAAGTCAAAAAGATAAAGTGTAGTCGACGTATCTGACTGTGTGAGGGATAAAACGACGAGAATTTCCCAATGATGATATGAGGAAGGGGTAAGGCAATGCATAGCCGGGTATGAAAGGTGAAGGTGAATCAGAAGGAGGTCAGATGGGGTAAATAAATACAAGGAGCATCCATCCTACTGTAAAGACCGGACAGGAAACGGGCATTTAAAAAAGGCACCAATCCCATGGAGATTTTCAAGCAAAGGTTGCCAAATCCTTACTCTAATCCAGCGTTATTCACTAGATCGAACCGGTTGTTTTGATCAGAAACTTCAATGGTGAATATGACGCTTGATATGTTTCCGACTGAGTCGAGCCGAGCTATTCGACGTGCCAGGGAGCTGCTTAGGAAAGAACGTTCCAGTAGGTACAGCATCGAAAACGGCTCGGCGTTCAACCGTGTAGGTCGGGGAGACGTGGAGAGCAGAAGAGGTGGGACCAGCAGCTGACGATCCTGGCGCACTTTCATTGGCACTACCACCAAAAGCTTTGGGAGCTTGGTTAGGAGGCGTATTGTGGGATATACGCCAGCCAATGGCAACGCCAGCTGCAATACACTAGAGAAATAGATGATAAGATGTGCAGGAGGAGCTAGTTGCAAAGCACTCACAAGGAGGAGTACAACGGCTATGAACCAGACCCATCGCGACAACCTGGTGGTACCATTTTGAGTCTTGCGGAGCCACGGGCTAGATTTTGATTTGAGAAAAGTGTATAGTAGTAAGATAAGCAAGTATATACCTCTGTTTCTGCGAGGTGGGTTTTTGGTTCTCCTCTTTGGCGACCATGCTGAAACGTCTCCAGAAGTCATCACCTCTTTCACCCCGCTTAGGTATCAAGACATCCTCTGAATTGCCACGAATAACGCCGCCTGGGGCAAACTTCACATCGCGTGGAGCGGGAGACTTGGAGGGGCGTGCGAAGACAGGTGTGATGGGTGTCATTGGTGGTTGAAGAGGGTGAGGTGTATTGGGTACAGATGCCAAGTTGGAGCTGGCGCTATACGCGGGTGGAGGCAGGCGAGGCGAGTCAGCGAAGAGATCATCACCACGAAGGGCTGGAGAGACTTGGGACATCTGTGGATGTGCTGGCATACGGCCCTCGGGAGTCGCAGCAGGCGATGGGCGTGAGAGGTTTAGGGCTGCTATGGGAGCGGGGTATCCTGGGCGGGGAGCTGCGAGAGGAATGGGAGCTGGTTGTTTCGGGTGAGTGGCGGCAGCGAGCGCGGCGTGCTTGTCGTGCTTGGAGTTGAAAGGGTTGGCGTCTTCATAGTCGTTGTCGTGGTCAGCCATCATACCAAGCTTGTTCAATCCAAGATAATCCAGACCAGACTGACGATTATCGTCGCCATTGAGATACTGATCGTACCTGCAGAAATGAATTAGAGAACTTTTGTCGCCGCTGGTTAGGTGTATGCGACGTACATGTTGTAGGCGGATGACCTGTTGTTGGGGTTTGGCTCCGCTGGTTGGCGAATCCTGCGCTGCTGTTGCGGGGGCTGGTCGAACAAGGAATCAGGGTCGTCTGTCGCGAATGGGGGTTTTCCAGCCAGGGGAACGTTGCGAGGAATCTGAGCAGCCATTTTCTAAACTTGAGCACAGATAGTAATGTTTGATGTGAGATAAATAAGCGAGCGTAAAGCCTCCAAGACTCGAGGCTGCGAGTGGACTGGGGCAGGAAACCAAAGGGCAAAGGTAAGAAAAAGAGAAAGAAAAGGACGGATGGGATGGAGGAGAAGGAAAGACTTTGGAGACAAGAAATGTTCTCGTGGGATCACACTTGAGATCGGCAAATGCCTTCTCGTCGCCAAACCAACTAACCAACTCATTAATCGTGCAACTCAGACCCTTTTGTTGCATAAAAACATACGTCAGATTTTGTCAGGGCTCTATTTCGTGTATTGACTCGCGTGTTGATAGGCGTACTAGCCAGCTTCAGTAGTGTGTCTCAGTACTTGCCTTACGAGCATTCTTAGTGCATTCTTTCCTTGCAGAATAACTGGATCTCGGCACGTGCTAACCAAACACAGTATTATTTGGCTTTATTGGTCCACACACAGAAACGCGTCGGCGCGTCACAGCAATTGTCCTTTCTTTCTTAAAAACGCGAAATGGCAAAGCGCAAGGTCAGCATAGAAAGCAGCGAACAAGACCAATTGGACTCTTCGCAGGCCTCAAAACGTGTGAGAATACAAAATGGGGATGACCAGCGTGAAGTTGTACAATCCCAGGTTTCTAAACGCGAAAAGAAACCTGCCGTAAACGGGAAAGGCAAAGATAAGGCAGTTCAGGAAGAAAGCAGTGACGATGAAGGTTCGATCCATCTTCCCCAACAAGAGCAGACTGAAGAGGACGAGAAACGGTTTGAGGAAGAAAATGGGGAACGTGTTCGTGCCGCTATCGAAGCCAAACGCAACACCTTTGGTGTGCGTATAATACTAGTTTGTCATCTTTTGTGCAACTTATGCGGGCCATCATGCAGGGCATTGCAGACCATGGAATTATAGAGCATATTGAAATGCACCAATTCATGTGTCACCGGTTTCTCTCATTCACCTTTGGTCCGCAAATTAATTTCATCATCGGTGAGGCTTATCCAAACTATGTCTCCTTTCACTATCTCTGATTGTATATGCTAGGACACAATGGAAGTGGGTTTCTTCTTCTGTTCGGAATTATAAGCATGACCATGACATGGTCTCAATTTCAATAATACAGGCGGGAAAAGTGCAGTGCTGTCTGCCATCACCGTCGCTCTTGGTGGTAAAGCCACTTCAACCGGCCGTGGCAATGGCCTCAAATCATTCATTCGCGAGGGACAAGAGTACGCGTGTATACATAACGATTATCATAGTGACAAGTACTGACCTAGTGGTCCTCACCAGCGTCGCCGAAGTTACAATCACAATTAAGAACCAGGGTGAAGAGGCCTTCAAGCCAAAAGAATACGGTAAAAGGCCGCTCGTTCACCCCGTGGATATCCGACTCATCGTCATCATCTCCTCCATCTGCATTTATGTCGTCACCGGCTGTCTGTATACCTACACCATTGTTAGCCTTTCCTTCCAATTGATCGCCGTTGGTTTCCACTGAATGTCCTCACCCAAGGTATGCTTCGTTCTTTCACTTCAAAGATGGATCATGACTTGTTAGTACGACAGATTCCGCTCGGTACGTATTTTTCGTATCATTATTACCCAGCTGTCCACTTAGGACTGTACACATAGGCAATTCCTGAGTGCGTCTCACCCGAGCGACAAGTACAAGGTATGTTTACAGCAGAGTCATCGCCATGTCAGTTGCTCACCACTTAGTATGAACTAGTTCTTCCTTCGAGGCACTCAGCTTAGTCAGCTCAACGACGAATATGATGCTTGTCTTGAGAACATCAATCAAACAACGAAGGTTCTCGGACTGAAAAAGGCAGCCCTTCCCGATCTTCGTGTTACGTTCAAAGAAGCTTCCATGCGCTTCGAGGAGGCTTCTAAAGCTCGTGAACAAAAGTATAAAGCTGATGAACTGAAGAAGGAGTTAGCTTGGGCTCATGTCGCTGGCAAGGAAGAGGTAGTTTTGCATATCTTCCGACAGGTTTCATGCTGAACTTTGGGTTTTCCCCTTGTTTTTCAGGATATGACCAAGAAGATTGAAGAAGTTGCTAAGCTCAAACGTCGGCTGCCAAAGATCGAAGAGGAAGTCCAAAATGCAGAGGTACGTATTGTTATGCTATATATACATGATTGTCCTTGGATAACTTTCATAGTCCAACTTCAAAGCTGCCACTGAGCGGGTGACAAAACTTGAGGAAGAACTAAAAGATATTGGTGACATCGATCATTTGAACGAGAAACGAAGCGAGTTACAGGAAAAACTTCGTGTGAACAGGAACAAAATCAAAGCCTTCAATGTAAGTGGGTCTCGTGGTTGCTATTATGTTCTTGACTTAACATAGTTCACAGGACGACGCGAAGCAGATGGACCAAGGATTGCAGAGCACTAGACGCGCAATTGCTGGTTATGAGGCTCGTATCGCAGAAGAAACTCGCCGCATGGAAGTGCACACCCAGGCCAAGCGCGCAGAAACTAATCAGCAGCTTGAAAGAGCTAAAGCAAAAGTGCGGGAAGCTGATGACGCTCTTAGTGTCATCCTCGAACAGAAACGTGCGAAAATTAACGAACAGTCTACGGTCAAGAACGAAGGTTTGGCCGCTGAAGCTGTGAAGAACACCGCAAAAGATCGTATTACGGAGTGTCAGACTATGATCACGAGATGTAGAGACCAGGAGAAAAATAGTCTTGCGCCTTACGGTAGGGATATAAAGAATGTGCTCGCTCAGGTAGCAAAAATGAACTGGTATGGAGATGTTCCCGTTGGACCGTTGGGGACTTTTGTGGAGGTCAAAGACCCCAAATCTTGGGCGCAGGTTTTAAGGTCAACGCTCGGAGGTTTTATGACAGCATGGGCTTGTACAGACGCTAGAGATCGTCAACAGCTCAAGCGCCTTTTGGACCAAAGTGGAAAGTAAGTGGCTTAGTATGCGCATCAGATGGCTATGACATCATACGTCTCATCACAGTTCAAATCTTATGATTATCATATCCTCGAAAGATATGTTCGACTATAGTTCGGGAGAACCTCCAGCTGGCGTGCTCACGGTGCTACGTGCTATGGATGTAAGTAGTCATGCGTTTCATTGACATGTAGCTCAAGCGGGTGAATAGTTCTCTGATCCATTTGTGCTCCGCATACTTGTTAACCAAGCAAATATTGAGAGAACCATTTTGGCTCGGTCTCGTTTAGAAGGACAACAGATACTTGACAGCTTAGGAGGTGGGGGTACTGCTTGGACTGCCGATGGAATGCGTGTTCAGAAGTATTCGTACGTAGTTCCGTTATCATCTCACCATTCGGTCGTAGCCACTAATGTTTACTCCTCCCAGAGACGGTGGTAAATCATCCAATAAGCTTCAGGAAGTACCCCGCGGGGACTCTAGGAATATGCTTTTCACAAGTAGTAATACTGCCATGGAGCTGAGGTTAGTATGGTTACCATTACATCTGTAGTACCGCCGCATGGTTGACCTTATCGAGCAGGGATTGGGAAGAAAATCTCAAAGCCGCCGAGGGTCAACACCTGGAGGCGCAAGCAAAAAGCCGAAGTCTGGAGCAAACTTACAGAGAATACACTCGCACGATAAATGCACTTACCGTCAGTTATTGATTTGGGTGGTCACCTGGTCTTCAGTATACTCATGTTAGTTATAGACAGACGAGAAGAACGCTTTGCGGAAGCAAAGAGAAACCAAGAATGGATACAAGACACTTCAGGAAGAGGCCAATGAGGAATTACCCACTGATATTGCCGGCCTACAGTCTGCAAAGGAGGTGAGCAGCTGTTGACTTTTGATCGAGTACATCGGTAGCTTATTCAACGATAGGAAGCTGAAGCAGAGAGAGATTCTATTTTGGAACAATTCACTGCCCTCACACGACAGAAAGATGATGTAAATTCTGAGCAAAAACCTTTGCTAGAGGAGCAGAACAGAATTCAAGGCCAAATCGACGCATTCAAGGAAGGTCGCGATGCTGTTACGGTCAGTCTTGCTTTTTTAAGCCATGGGCACCATCTCATAGTATATCCAATTAGCACCAAATCGAAGAGGCGGTTGCCGCGCGACTTCAGGCTCAGAACAGCAAGAAGCACTATACGCAGAAGCTGGACGATGAGAAAAAGAAGGTTACAGATGCTGAAGAGATCGCTACTCAATTGAAAGAGGAGTTTGCGGTAAGAGTGTTTGGTCCTTTTTCCACAGATAGATCTATAATTCTTCGCAGAACTGGACAACCAGTGCCGAGGATTATTGCGAGAAGGTTCAGAACCCTCGTAAGGCTGATGTAGTCAAACGCCACCTCGAATCAGTCCAGACTGCTCTGAAAGAGCGGGAACGAAGGTTTGTTTCCTTGCAATGCCTAGTTCCAGTCTCTTATCGATCGGCAGACATGGCGCTACGGTGGAGGAAATGACTGTCGAGGTTAACAAAGCGAAAGCAGCCCTGGACACTGCTGAGAAGGATCTTAGGAGCCTGAATACTCTGAATAAGGTACATCGATATATCCATTTACGTCCTTTCGCATGTCTGACATGGGTATGTTTCCAGGCATTGACGCAGTCTCTGATTACCCGACTCCAAAAGTGGCAGGAGTTCCGCCGCCATATAGCTTTGCGCTGCAAGCATGTTTTTCAATATCATCTATCAAACCGTGGATATTACGGCAAAGTCTTGTTTGACCACATTAATCAGACTTTGCAACTCAAGGTACGGCTATTAGTTGTATTTGCGGGGTATCTTACTTTGGTACTGACACCGACCGGAGGTCCAAACCGACGACCAGACTGCAACTCAGGGCAGAGATAAAGACCCCCGTTCTTTGAGCGGCGGGGAAAAGTCGTTTTCGACTATTTGTTTGTTGCTTTCTTTGTGGGATTCGATTGGTTGTCCGCTCAGATGCCTTGGTAATGCTTCGCTTTTCCCATCTACCCTTTATCTTTTTCTCTGACCTTGAATGACCAATGACCAGATGAATTCGATGTCTTTATGGATGCTGTCAATCGACGAATCAGTATGCGTATGATGGTAGGACATCATCTGCGCTCTGCGCTCTGCTTTCTCCATTGCTCACAGTAGCTTTTGTATAGATCGATACTGCTAATGCGTCAGATAAAAAACAATATATTCTCATCACACCTCAAGATATGAACAATATCCACATCGGTCAAACAGTTCGGGTGCATCGCATGACCGATCCTGAACGTGGACAAGCTACTTTGCCATTTTCATAAAGCCTCCTATGCTTCCGCTTTATTCCATCATCGAGTGATAATTACCTACATTATGATCATGCCGCTAAGGATCTATGTCAGCCCGCATCAGTACAATACTCTGTAAAATTTATTACCCTGTCATCCAAATGTAGATACTTGCTTTTTTTGACTTTGATGGACAAGTGGATCAGAGATGGCGCTCTCACGGGCCCGTTGAATTTTCCAGGAAATGAGCTATAGAAGATTAAGAAGCAGTTCTATGAACCGATTCCTGTAGGATTGAAACTGGTTCTTGCAAATGCGGTAATAAGGATACACTGAAATAACATAGTTCTTACAACATACAGATCATGTGAACAGGCGTGAGATCAGGTGCGCCCGTGCAGATCGCCTACGTAAATGTCAATTCACAAGGCATAATCGATCGCTCACAGGAATTATTTGCAACGTACCTTAGGCACTGGCCTACTCCTTGAATAGCTCCTGACCCTTATCTTGGAAATTGCCTAGTTCGTTACGCCAAGGTTCCCAGACCTCTCCATATTTCTTCAGCAAACTGGCGAGCTCCTCCCTCTGCTCCTTCTGCCCACGAGAATCGTTGGCTTCAGCAGTTTCAAACGTAAATCATCAAAAATATAAATACTTACGATATTCCAGGGTTCTTGACCTCCATAAACGTCGGAAAAGAGCTCTTTGAGTTGGTGGCGTTTGACTCCTTCAGCGCGCTTAAACGCTTCCAAAACATCTTTCTTCAATCTCCTTTTCAGTTCCTCTTCTTCGTCACTTGACCACCAACCCTGCGACTCCATAAACAATCGGAACCGTGTGATCGGATTATCTATCTTCTTCCTATCTTCAACTTCCTGTCTACCCCTATAGGCGAAAGAATCGTCTGAAGTTGAATGGTGGCCCACGCTTAGAGCGAATGGTGAATCCAATTGAAAAGGGTGAATATGTATGAAAAGATGCCACACCGATATGTCATAGCCTCAATTAGGACTGCTCTTCCGCTCTCCAGACATCTCCTCCTGGCTTCCTTGACAGCATTCAATACGGCAAGGATGTCATTCCCATCTACTCGTACAGTATCCACGCCATATCCAGGGCCTCTGGCTGCAATGCCATCCCCATAAAATTGCTCAGAGGCAGGGGTTGAGATAGCAAAACCGTTGTTACGAGCAATAAATACTGTTGGGGCCGGTATAGTGGATGCAAGCAGCATACCAGCATGAAAGTCTCCTTCAGAAGCAGCCCCTTCGCCGAAGTATACCACGGCAACATTTTTACCCCGCCGGCTTGGGTCCCGTTTCAGGGCGTAGCCCACTCCTGCGGCGTGTGGGATTTGTGTTGCGAGAGTTGACGAGATGGTGTGGAAGTGCAATTCCGGAGAACCGAAATGCTACAATGAGATGACACCGCAGGCAGTTCCGTTTTTAGTGAGTGCAGTAAACTCTACAAGATAAAAAAAGATTCGAGTACCATTGGCATTTGCCTTCCCTTTCCGGATTTGTCTTCCTGGTTTCCAAAGCACTGTGCCATGACGGAGTTAACTCCAAAGCCACGCCAAAGGAGAACACCCATTTCTCGATATTGTCCTACAACAGTTGCTTAGGTGCATGCGAGTTATATGTTGTAGGAAGCTTACCCAAAACTCTACGTAAATTTACTTATTTCAGCGTTTCCATTGTGACAAATTATCACTTACTCGTCGTCCGGAGCAAGTGCTGCAGCAGACCCTATGATCGTCGCTTCTTCACCATACTACGAGATTGGATCAGGGATATATCACGCTTCGTGAACGTGAGAGACCTACTGAAGTCATCTAAGCCAAGGTTTAAGTTGTGCGCATGACGAAGCAAAAATGATCAACTCACATAGAATGATATCTTCCCTTGGCGTTGGACATTATACAACAGATTGTCTAAAGTAGGCAGCAGTTGCATATTCTCATACCTGTCCGAAGCAAGATGAGAAAAGGCTCATGTGAGTGGACTGTATTCCTCGTTCCGGACTCACAGTCTCCGCGCAAAATCCTCGCTCAGCGCCTGCAAAATTGTAAGAAGAATCAACGGACCAGAGAAGCATGTCATACATCAGGTACTTCTGCGCCATCTATTAGCTTCCCCATGCCATCAAGGACTCGATAAGTTGGAATTTGTCCGGATTCGCTAGTAACTGAATTGAAGAACTGGAGCTTGGACACTAATGGGGAATTAGAAGTAGGAAGATGTCCCTGTGACTGAGCGGGAAATTTGGGAGCTGCGTTGGCCAGCCCGCGCCCTTTAACGAGAGTTTGGGAGCGAATATGCAGTGAACGCACAGATCGGAGCATATTTCGATGGTATCGTTCGTGTTGAGGTCACGGTTGACCGCGACTCGGTTAGTGGGTTGTGACATTATACAGTCGTGACTGCTATAAAGTATGTGTGACACTTTCCAAATGTGGACAGTGTGGTTCGGTTTCCCAGTACCTGGCCTCCAGTTCTTCAACTTACCAGTTCAGCGACTCGTCATATCTTCGAAGACATTCAATTTTCGTTGTCTCGGCAACGGGCTCACCGAAACTTCTGTGTCATAGTGCAATTTGTATCACTATGTGTGCTCTAGCAGCCCGATTCAGCAGGTCTCTTACTCCAGGTTCTGCCGGGCAACCTTCCCAAATATTTGAACTTTCTTCAAACCCTGAAAGCTAATCATTTTCTCATATATCGACGCGGCCTCTCTTTCGAACTCTCAATCTATATAGTTCCGAATCGCACTATTCCCGGGAGACCTATAATGAGCGGTAACTTGGTCCGGTAGATCACCCCCCTCTCCTCTCCCCCGACTTATCTACCTTTCAGATTTCTCACTTCCAGACGACTGCTCATGCTACTAGCGGAAACTCTGATTCCTCAATTATGATGGCTCGAATCACAGCTATCGATTTACTTCTCTGTTTGCTGCTGCTAACACTTGGACCGCAGGTTGGCCTCTCTTATAGTAACATCTCCTTCTCATCTGTCGAGCAGTGCAGCTCGTTCAGTGTTTTGTGCTCTGGAAGCCTGTTATCTGAAACCCTTCCATTCACCCTTGAAATCATTCCTTTCCAATCTACTCCTTTTTCGATCGTCCTACCAAATCACGTCTGGAACAACTCTACAAACTCTAGTTCTGTCATCTCGTTTCTACCACTCGCTGCTGGGACAGAATTCGTGGCGCAGCTCAACGATGCGTCTGGGAACCGCATAAGCTTGATTTCCGACATTGTGCAAGTTTTGTCGTCTGAGAACAACTCATGCGTACCTTCGGACACTAATAGCTCACCAGCTTTCAACGTGTCCAACTCGTTTTCTCAGTGCCAACCTTTCAACGTGACTTATAGCACGAGCATTCCCGTCCCATCAGTTTATGCTTTAGTCCCTGGGGGTAATTCTTTTACCTTGCCACAGACAGTCGTATCCCCAGGGTTATCCACGTACACTATGACGGCTTTTCACGATGAAGAAATCGTCTTGCTTCTCAGTGACAATGACTTCGCTTGGGTGACGAAGGCCACGACCGTAGAAGGTGGCTCTTCAAGCAGCTCTGCTTGCCTGAATATGCAACAAATGGTTGCATCTTCTACGTCTACTAGCCCCACTGCCAGCGCGAGTACCAGCTTGACGACGGCCGCTCAAAGCTCGTTGTCCGCTCCAAAGCAACTATCTATGTGAGTTTATCGTATGTCTCACGCTCTTCGTTATCTTATGAAATTTACTCTTTGTCTAGGGGCACGGTTATTGGGATCGCAGTAGCTTCTGCTTGCATCATCGCCGGGATAGCCATACTGATGGCTATTTATATATATCGTCATCGACGTCGAGAGTGGATTCATAATTTTGACGGACAGGGCCAAGGGGGGGATCTAGAAGATGTGGCGCATTTTGTTCTTCCAGCGACACCTCCGAAACCCCTACCAGTCGCTTCATCGATCCCACGCTTAATTAAGAACCCTCCATATTCGACGGACAAGGTTACCTTCAGATCTCCAGCGACATCACAACTTCTTGACGACCCCAGAGAATGCATAGACTCGTTACAACCGCAGACGGGCCGCTCGTTAACTTTTCCCCTCCCGCCTCCTTGCCAACATACTACTCGCTCCACTGGTTCCCTTGACATTGAGCACATTCTCGAAATGGCCACAATCCACTCTCAAGCCCGCAGTAGCTTTGATGCGCTATCGACAATCAGTACTATCAGGCCTCCCCATCGTTTCCGCCCCGATGTCCCGCCCTTCTTACACAGACGTGATCCTTCCGATGTCCCTCTACCGGCCGATGGTTGTTCAATCCAACTCTCTCCTAGTGTTCCTGCATATCCTTCACTAGGGATGTCAGCGCTCCGCTCTCGCGCTTCTGTCGCGTCACTGGCTTCAGCAGCATCATGTGCCAGCATTACATCACAGTCATGCATGCTATCTCATGATATGAATGAAAAGAACGTCGGATTTCTCGCACAAGCTCGGCGCAGTTCTTCATTACTTGCCGCGCAGGTTCTGGCCATGGCGGGTGCCAACAACTCTTCGGATAGATCTACCGTGAAAACTGTGGAAGACTCTTCAGTAGCTTACGAAAGATCTCTTGATAGTCCTGGTCGGCAAACCAAGCGCCAAGTTCCTACTGGCGCTAAGTTTTAACGCGTAAAGTCCTGTGAAATCCTTGCGATACCTCAAAGTAACAATTCTCCATTCGTTCCCCACACTAAAGGATGCTGTCTCGAAATGTATTCTTAGAACCCTTCTATAAGGGGCTTCCAGTCTTTTCACTGAACTTTCTATGGTTTTTCACCCGACACTTCCAGATTGTGCTGTATCTTTATCTTTCGAATTTCGACTTTTGATTCGGAATGGTAGACTGTACCTGTTGCACTCTACCATTCTACATTAAGTGTAAACGTCTAGGTCTTCACCTATGCTTCTCATCTTTTAGTTATGCAAGTCTTTTCGAGTCTCTTGGTATGTAGAATAGTTTGCTTTTTTACATCTGTACCCAGTGTAGATTCATCCACTCCTTTCAAGAAATATGTAGTGTCATCCGTTTACGTGTTCATGGCTCGAGTCTCCATCTGCTTCAAAGATAATGTTTCGGCTGAACGAATAAAGACAGCAACTCTTTCTGATGAGAATTATCACGACACAACTCGCAAGCCAGGTCATCGTCATGTGTTATCCCCCGAATAGCAGGTCGGACCGCCATGTGTGTCATGACTGTGGGTTGCGTACATTATGCGGGTACGTGATAATAGTATACCTTTTTGGCTCCAATAGACATTGCCATCAGATGCCTAAAAACCATGCAGAAAATTCGCAAGGGAACGAAAGATAATTATTCAAGATGGACTGACCAGCTTCCTCCGCCATTATACTTGGCCGATCTGTCTCCACAGAATTGATCAGATAACCTTTTGCGACCCTGGATATCTCGACTTTTGCCCATGCATTCAAAAACTGTCAATTTTTTTCTTGAGGCATTTTCAGCGCTTCTGCAGCTGCCTTTCTCCGCCCGCCCATCAGAAGCGTGACATAGTCTGCACCACCCAAGACATGCTGCCCCTCTGCCCCCTCACTGTGTCCGGATTTTGGCTTCACTTTGTCTTTCAACGTGGCTCGCTTTTTTGCTGATTGTACGGCTGTGGAAGCCTGAGATGATTTTGGAGCGGTGTTAGCTCTGGAAGCGGATGATGTAGATTGGGTGTTTGAGGTACTTTTGGACGATTTTTGCGGTTTCTGTGGTAAATAAGTTGAAGTCACTGACAGGTAGAATAAAAACATAGAGCGTTACCGTTCTCTTGTGGACTTTCGCACTCCTTCCCATGGTGGCGAGATTGAAGAGAGTGATCTTCAATGAAATCAATCCAAGTCCACAGTCACGTGCGTCTGTAACAGCTGTGACGGAGTGGTTTTCTCCTCGGACAATGATGGTACCTGCAAAGCCCTGGAAAGACTGCGCAACGATGCAAATATCTGGATCTATTCTCTATATTTCTAGTCCCGGCTTTCACGGTCGCTGAGGTATACATCAAGATAGGTGTCACAATTGCCCCTTTCTGCTGTTCAGCGCTCAACCACTACCATTACTAGTGCTCTGCGGACCCGGCTTCAAGGCGCAGCAGTATGTTAGCGCTGGTTTTCACATCTCTTTTGTAAGCCCTTATCGTGGTCGCCGCGATGGTTAATTGGCTAGCTCAGTTATCAACAAACCTTGATCCGAACAGCACCAGAAGTGCCCGCCCCAATCGTGTGCCTTCACAACCGTACTTGCCAGTGGTGTTGGATGATGGTACTGGGAATTGAAGCTATAGCCCAAATTGAGCGGTCCACACAAATGTCACCGTTGAAACGTTCTTCGCTAATGATAGGGGCAACTTGAATTCTACCGCCCCCCTTTTAGCTTGATGAATTCCAGGATGCCCGTCATCTCCAACCCCACTGTTGCTTCGCGAAACGACAGTCCCAATATCAACTGCCAAAGTGGATGTCAGCCAAACACTGCCCGGACCTTGGTCTTTCCCATTGTTCCTTATTATGTTTGAATCACGAACTCTCATAGCTTCCTTTACTCAATTCTGAACAGAATTGAGTCTAACACGTTCGTCAATTACGAATATATAATAAATAAAGAAGGAGGGGAATGGATTACTCAAAGTGCTATTCAGTAATACATTTTTTGATCAGGAAAATGGTTGGCTTCCTCGCGTTAATATCACCACATTACGTTCCTGTGGCAGGTATAAAGACTCCTTCCTTTTACTGCCTTCGTAGGTTATGGAATCTGGATACCTCGTCTTCGAGGCAACAGCCAAGTTTGTTGTGTCCGCAGATAGCACACGCATATACACCGATGCTGTGGGACATCCGTTTAATCCTCCAATTGTCTTCATCCACGGCTATTCACTTAGCTCTATCGTCTATGATAATATTTTTACTAATCCCGTATGGAATGAGCAATTTTACCTTGCGAGTCATGGTCTTTGTTACATTGATAACATGCTGACTTATCTGGATGTAGGTTAGATTAGATATGCGAGGCCACGGCAGAAGTGACAAGCCAGAGGACGAAGCAGATTGGACTCCAAAGAAATTCGCGGAGGATTTTGATTCTGTGGTAGCTGCTTATCAGCTGTGCAAACCATTTATCGTAGCATGGTGCGTTTGGTACACTCTTGCTTAGATATATTATTGTTCTCACTCCGGCATTCTAGGAGCTGTGGAGGTACTTTATTGAATTTACAATTTTCTATCCAGCTTATCCTTACCTTCTACCTCTAGGGACCATGATCGCCGATATATTTGGTTTCCACTCGCACGCATATGTTACAGGTATTGTTTACATCACGCCCATCCCTTTCATTGGATTTTTCCAACATATCGCCACTCAATATGCGCGTGATCTACTCCCAAAGTTATTGCAGACAATGGACATCAATGCTTTTCAACGGGGTGCACATGACTTCGTAAAGGGCCTCGTTGCCGCTCAAAACCTGGCAAATCCCGCAGCCTTCCCCCCTCGTTTGCAGTACGCTTGTTTGGGTGACATCATGTCACAGCCTCGCAGTTGCTCAACATTTGCATTGACGAGAACGCAACATGAAGCGGGATTGCTTCGTGCGGGGGAGGAGGGTGTTCCGACGTTATTGATCAACGGTAAACTTGATATCTTGTTGATGGGACAACCACTGTTGGGTTTGTTCAGCAATTGGAAGAATTTGGACGTGGTTGATATGCACACGGGCCACATGCCTTGGTGGGAAGCGCCCGAGGTATTTAATGATACAGTGTTAGGTTGGATTTCAAGAGTACTTGATGAAGAAATGGAGCGGTAGAACATGGGTTGGGTCCCCGCGCCATGAGTATGTAATGAGTCGTAATGTACTTTTTCTTGAGTATTTCGCCTAGGTGAATCATGAATTACTTATGAATTAACTTACAGCCTAGCAAAATGTTATACAACCAAAAAAAAAGCGTGTTGATCAGTGTCCCTCGACCCCTCAGCAATGTTTGGCGTTAACAATATTAGTTGAGCCTTGGTAATGTGTCTTTTGATTTCCTCGAACTATACTAATCTACAATCATAACGAATGTGGAGTACTAGTACTATTCCAGCGACATTCCATACACCACCTATCTTTCACTTGATCTTGACTGACAGGTAACTATCACAGAAGTTTTCCATGGAGAAAGGAGTTCGCCTCATCGGTTTCGCTCGAGCAAATATTTTCTCCTTTCGAATTGAAGACAGAAAAGCAATTGTCATGTATACTATCAGTTGAGTTAGTTTTTAGTTACCGCGGCTCGTATAAGTAAACGACAGACTTATCGAGCGACTGTCACGGAACAGGAAAGGTATTAATCAGCAATAGCACCCACCTCAGTATCAAAGTGACAGATGCATCGACGGCCCGTATGTCATATTCTACCGACCAAAGGCGATCATGCTGCAACACTCGTAGTAGTTCTCCCCATCATCTCAATCGCAATCAGTGAAATTCCTTCCAGTCTGGATGCACGTTTGCGCAAGCATGAAAAAAGTAACCTCTTCACTGGGTGTCCCTTGCTGAAAGCTACTATTTATACCATATATAAGTTTGAAGTAACACGTTCATTGCATGCACCTTTATCGATAGCTTATCCAGTAAGCCTTTATAATGTCTTCTGGAGGGTAGAGTTAAGTAACTGGTGGCGATCAGTCTTTCAGCCACATCATATGTGCACAAATACGCCACCATCACCAAACATGGCTGCCTATAATTGACTTTGGAACTTCAGCGTTTCGACTGTGACATTCGAACCATCCCTATAAAAGATAATCATGATATATCAGCCTCAACCAGCGAATTTCTTGTCTTTTTCATTATGATGATCCAGAGATTGTTTCAAGTTATCTGCAACGAGAATATATGGCCACGTTCGCCTCGTGTGACCCGGTTTGTGGTCACGGTACTGCATGTCAGAGTTCCGTTTCATTATCTGGCGCTTATCAAGGGTATCAACAATAGAGCACACTGATCAGTCAGTTTCGTACTCCCTCTGCCCCGTGGATTTATCCTATATCAATTGATTGTCGCCGAAATTCAGTTACAACATGAGGCAGGCTCAGATTATAAACACGAGGTCCGAATGTTTCGCAGTAATTGAGCCTCTTTTGTTAACATCACAAATATCCACAGTTTAGGCCGCTCGAACACCACTGCACAGCAACACAGTATTTCACGCTGGTGACTGGCAGCTGCTACCGTTTCAGGCGAAATGAAGACACGGATTAAAACCGAGTCTATGCCATTTTCGTGGATAAACTTAGCAACACCACTTTTCTAAATGCTTTTTGCCCAAGTCATTCGTAACAGGATTTTAAATAACTCCGAAGAAAGAATGTCGGAGCATGCCTCGCGCTCTCATTATCGTAATAAATCAATGTGCGGCACGATGACGTAAAAAGTGTGTATCTCGGAATCTTCTGCACTGTCTCGTGAGTGGAGCGTTGATGCTATAGAAGTAAGTAGTGTTGACATGCGCCATTGCACAGAATCGTTAAAGATTTCCAATATGCGAATTCTTCCATTCAGAATCTCAAGAAATGGGAACGGATCTCAAGAACCTTCATTAGCTGGATGTTCTCGGGACAAGATGCTATGCCTTGCTTACCCCTCATCTATCTCCATAATAACCAGACGTAAGTGTCATCGTTTCTATCATCACATGACATCCTGAGAATAGTTCACTTTTTTCCTTGATGAAGTAAACATTTTACTGATCGGTTGATGCTAGGTCAGATTTTGTATCCAAATCTGAACCCAATGTATATACGGCCTATATAATGTGTGCTCAGTTCTGGTCTCTCGTCAGTCCATCATGGAACACCCCATCTTCGAAGGAGCACGACTCGTCACATCAGCAGATGGTACACGCATCTATACAGACGCTGCTGGAAATCCGTCGAAACCATCCATCGTCTTCATTCATGGGTATTCACTGAGCTCTATTGTCTATGACAACCTATTCTCCAATCCTAGCTGGAGGGAGAAACTGTTCCTTGTGAGGTTTGGCACATCACAATTGAATTGTTGATTAAAGCGATACCCCATATAGGTCAGGCTCGACATGCGTGGCCATGGTAAAAGTGACAAGCCAGAACAGGAGTCGGCTTGGACGCAGACAAAATTTGCAGAAGATTTCGACGCTGTTGTTCGAGCCTACCAACTCCGCAAACCATTGGTTGCAGCATGGTGCGTCATTCTTCAGATACAGATGCATCTTATCAGTTCCTTACTCCGCTTCGATAGGAGCTGTGGAGGTCAGTGACCTTCTGATGTTCTCGACTAATTACTTACCTCACGCCTGCCGTATTAGGAGCCATGGTCGCCGACATTTTAGCGTTTCATTCATCAATATCTCTTGCCGGAATAGTCTACATCACACCAATACCTTACCTCGGGTTTTTCCAACACATCGCAACTGATTATGTGCTCGACGTAATTCCTAAACTCACACAGAAAACGGACGTGAATACCTTTCAGATCGCTTCCCGTGATTTTATACAGGGTCTTGTCTCTCCTAAACACTATCTCAATCGCGTTGCATTTCCCCAGCGCTTGCAGCAAGCTTGTCTTGGTGACGTAATGTCCCAGCCTCGCACCTGCGCAGCGTACACTCTGCAGAGGTCGCAGGATGAGTTCGGCTTAATGCGAGCTGGAAGAGAAGGACTTCCCATGCTTCTCATCAATGGTAAAGACGATATGTTATTGAAATCACAGCCTCTCTCGAAATTGTTCGAGAAGTGGAAAAACATGGAGGTGGTGAACATGGATACAGGACATATGCCATGGTGGGAAGCTCCTCAGGCCTTCAACGATGTTGTGCTGGGATGGATTGCGAAAGTTCTCGGCGGGGAAATGAAACGCATGCAGTTGGAAGCACACTTGTAAAAATATGTCCGAGCTTGTAATGTACTTTACGCTTCTTGATATTTTGATTGCTCACGATTTTTCTCGTCGTTGTGCGATGTGGTACATATCCAGTTACAGACGGTATGGACGGCATCAAATTACTTTCACGCATCTTCTTTGTTTATGTGCCAATCCACGTAAGGCAGTCAATCCATGCACTGTTTCCACTGTGGGGGGGGGAGCGAAGAACCCACGATTCCCACAGCGTTAACAACTTTTCGAGGATGCTTCCTACCACTTCTCAAATTCTGAATGCATGGTCGAACCAAAAAGGACGTGAGTTCTGACTACTATATCAACGGCTTATGTCAATCGTCCTCTAGCTTCTGTGGCTTCGATCTTTACATGTGTTATATGCATGTCATGGGACCCGTCGACCTTTGATGTCGATGCATCGATAGCCGTCAATGAACGTGGGATGTCGAGTGTTTAAATTGACGATGCACACTGTTCTATTTCTATTTTGCTCGGTTCGTCCTTCTCTGGAAGTCGCCCTCGAAAATAGATAGATCATGTATACCTTTGAATACTTGCTATGATCGTGTTCTATCAGCTGATAAGCTCCACAAGTTCTGCTTATCTCTTGACTAAAAATCAGTACGTACTACGTATTAGCACCTCCTCGCGCCCCAAGATTACACTGACATGGGATCTTATGATCCAAAGGTTATAGAAATTTGCTACACGTCCCATCATCCTTCCACGTCGATCAGCCCAATAGAAGTAGCAACGTCAGTACTAGCAAAGACGCCAGCACTCAATATTCGGTTTATTGCAGCGGGCACTAATACTGCTTAGTATCTGAATCGTAAATGGTCGGACACCTCCCCCTTCCAGTTCAATCCGTACCATGAACGCCCAGTTTCCTTCTCCGACATCATCAAGTCGAATTGGTTTTAGTCGCCCAAATTGGTTTTGGATAGCCGCTAAAAATGCTCAGCTTTGCACAACATGAGTCTGGTTGGACTATCTAACAGCAACGGGTGAATTGTTCATGATTATACGATAGAATCATAGCACATCTCATTTCATGATAACACATGCCGCGTTTACTTGAAGTGGGCATCTTTGAGATTCTAGGGTTAATCAAATGGCTTCCAATCTTTTAATGTCTCGGATTCCCACATCATGGGCTGGGCGACCAAATGGCTGCCCATCCTAATGAAATGAGAGAATTCTGGTTGGCTCCCGTATGGTAGAAGTACGCCCCCAAAAACTGAGTCATGGTTAATGCAACTTGGTAATTGTGATTCATGATAGGGCCTAGATTATGGTGGTGATTATGGTAGTGGGGGAGGAATAAACACAGTCTACAAATACTGTCAACACCTCGTGCACCGCATATGACACTCGAAAACAGCGTGCATATAAACTGTGGTCCATAAAGCAGATATGTAGAGATGCAACTCAGTTCTCAGGGAACGCATGATGAGAATACCAGCCTTCTTTGCCTCCACGTTGGCCGTTCCATCCATTGTTCTGGGTTTTAACTGCCCTGGAGGTCTGAAACTCGAGGCTTTCGGAAAAGTGATTATCAGAATCTTGTCGTAGTTCATACGAGAATAGCGCCAGCCCTTTGACATGAGCTTGAAAGCCTTGTGCCTGGCCTTTCGCCTCTAATCGTGCTGCGGGAAGTCCAAAGTTTGTTGTACAAGAGCAGCCGTGGGTCGAATATAGAGTTGATTCAAATAACACTCCTTAAATGGTCCTTGTTATCCGTAAAGGAGGAGCACGGAGACCCATGCCGTCAGATTGAAGTAATAGTGTAAGCACGGAAGAACAATGGGCCCTGAAAACCGATATGATGCCCTTCGAGAGATACCGTAAGTGCGTTCAATGGCATCAGGCGAGCATACGCCGTCCTTGACAGCGTAGCACATTGGCAGTTCAAGATCAACTGTTGAAAACGATGATAGAACGCTCACATGGTTGGTTCACACTACCCTGGTCAGCACTGCCAGGGCATCAAGTGCTTGCTAGTGGTTTCTAGATGTCAGCAGTGCTCCATTTTAACCACGATGGGGGTATGTTAGGCCTTTGATTGATTACGTTGCTTCATTGGTACCTTGCGCGTAGAAATGGTGATTATCACAGTCACCGCCATAGTTACTTTTTGACATGTACAAGTCATAAGGGGAACCTGGAACTTTGTGACTTGAGGTCGACTTGAACTTATTGTTGCCGAGGATTACCCGCAGCGGGCCGGCGACAGGCAGTACTTCAGTTTTGCCACAGAACTCTGCTCGTGAATGGAATCTCTCTCCACACGTGAAGCGGTATACGTAGCACAATGATGTCAAGGTCATTTCAAACTATGTTTTCTATCAGACGTATCGCTAATCAGTACTAGTACTCTCTCTTCCTTTCCCAGCATTTTCCCCGACTGGTACGGTTGCGCTGATAAGACCGGTATTGAACAATCTGCTCTAAAAAGGCACCAGAAGTCCTCATGTCTAATATTTGCATTCGCAACTGTGTCATCGCTGATAGCGTGATTGTTTCAAGTTCATAGTCAACGGAATCTACTGTACTCACCGGTTCTTACACCGCCTGAGGTAAGCCGTATCTAGATTCAGTTGGACTTCCAGAGGACCCACAATATCAACCACGTCTTCTTCATACCTTAGAGTTTACCGCCAGTTGAAGTTTCCCTAGCCGTTTCAAGTCTACAACGCTCGTTTTTATTATGTGGTCTTATGGTTTAATTTATGAGCTCGATGACGAAGCATCGGCGCTCTTATAAGGATGTCGTCTTCTTGGCCTTCAAATGTACCCCTGAACACAACTCCACGGTTACTAGTGGCTCCATATCAGTGGCTTTTGATCATGATTATCGCCAGCTGCGACTGATTTGATCGGAAAGTAGATCGTATACGAGGATTCAATCCACCATGCTCTCGTCTTCTTACTCCAAGGTTGAAGTTCAACAACGGTGGTTCTCATTCCGGAAATACATCTTCCTATGCAAAGACCGCAACGATTAGCTGCCTATTCATCCGTGTATTATTCGTGTTTTGCGCAGCGGTGCCGAGCATAATTTACGGCGAGGTACAGATATTTATCCTCCGTGCTGTAAGCTACTTGAAGATTGCTGATCCATACAATAACATTTAGCACAGCAATGATTTCCTGCATAGACTGCAGCATTTCATTTCAGTTTGGTAAGTGTCAAATATCTGTCATTCTCACTACCAGACAGCTCCTAGTACTGGGACCTAGCAAAAATGTCGTAACAAACTTGCATTCGTCATCTTCTCTTTTAATTGGGGGCACATTGTTCGTCGCCGTATTGCCCCATAACAACATTGGAAATGAACCTGTCCTATAAAATCTGGACTGCCGGTATACAACTTTATCGACTTTTATCATGTCAACTCCGTACAGTGCCTTTGATGCTACAGCGAAAATTGTGACGTCCGCAGATGGCACGCACATCTATACAGATGCTGTGGGAGATCCGTCAATGCCCGCAATTTTATGTCTTCATGGCTTTTCTTTGAGCTCTGTCGTATACGATAACTTGTTCATCGACCCTACTTGGAAGGACAACTTTTACCTTGTAGGTCTTGAAGTTTAGTCTGTGCCACTGACTTATATGCTGATGAAAAGATATTCAATAAACATAGATCAGGTACGACATACGCGGTCACGGCAGAAGTGATAAGCCAGAGGACGATGCTGCATGGCAGACGGAGAGGTTTGCCGAAGATTTTCTTGCAGTTGTTGCAGAATACCAAGTTCATCAACCATTCGTTATGGGATGGTGTGTCTTGCGCAATGATCGTTTTTCTAAGCGCTGATTTCTTATTTTAAGGAGTTACGGAGGTTTGAGATTCCGCCATCGTTCATAACTGATGACTCAATTATACTTTACTTCTATCAGGTGCAGTAATCGCCGATATCTTGACTGTCTGTTCTTCTACTTTCATCTCGGGAGTCATCTACATTGCTCCACTCCCTTATCTTGAGGTCGTTCCGCAAATTGCCTCCTCGTATGCTGTCGAGATGCTTTCCAACATGTCACAGACAGAGGATGTCAATGCCTTTCAGATTGGTGTACAAGGCTTTGTACGGGCCTTCGTATCTCCCGACAACTTCCTCAACCCAATTGCATTCCCTAAGCGTTTGCAGCATGCATGTCTTGGGGACGCCATGTCCCAGCCTCGAGTATGCGCGTCTAAATCTCTTGGTAGGACCCAGAGCAATACAGGGGTCCTGCGAGCTGGAAAGGATGAACTACCAATGCTGCTCATCACCGGTAAGTATGACATGCTGCTGGCGAGTCAGCCTATACAGAACGTTCTTGTGCAATGGAGGGGCTCAAGGGTGGTAGAGATGGAGACGGGTCATATGCCGTGGTGGGAAGCGCCCAAGGAATTTAATGATGTAGCGATTGGGTGGATCAAGGAAGTCCTCAGTAATGGGTCAAAGCGTGAAGAGATGCAGGCGCAGCTGTGATGGCTCTGTTCTCACAATTATTGTTGTTGCTATATCCCCGTAATATTTATGTACTTTTATGCCGGTGTGATGATTTGTGTGCATCCATCAGTTTGACTAGTTTGATATTGTGTGTTTTGGATTGATGATATGCTCCTAAAATCTTTGGGCGTCAGCTTTAGCTTATATCATTCCTCTACTATTTGTGGAGGTGTGAGTACATGTTTACGAACCTGGTCATGATTTTACCGATCTTTGTTTTCTTTCACGCTGCACGGCATGAGGCAACTCTTTGAGTCTATGCCTTACGTGCTATCGCCACCGCCTCAAATGACGAGTCAAATCCAAGTTCCATCTATGAAGGTGAGCAACTATCAATTCTGGTGCTTGGTAAATCTCAACGAATTCGTCATTTGATCTGTGAGTGGATATACTCCAACTTTCAACTAGTTTGAAGAGCTCAGTGGAAACAATTCAAGTGGCTCCAAACCACGTCTGACCGCCGCTTGGTTTTCGCGGAGTTTCATCAATTTCATCAGCACATCCTCTGTTTGCCTTGACAGTATCCGTCAATTTCCTAGTCTTGCAAACCATCAGGCCTCAGGCTCCTACCCACCTACCCACCCAGTGTTGTAAGGTAGTAGTCCTAGGGAGATGTGAGTGGAGAGATATGATGTGATGAAACAAAAATTTGATCATGTGGCCTGGAAAGTTGAATGTGTCATTTGCAGGCAGGTTCCACCAAAGGGGCCAGGCAGCTCTTGGTGAGATTGTTTGGATTTGATCTAGATCAGATAAGAGCTATACTAATGATTAGCTAGGTATTTGAAAGGGGGGGGGGGGGACACAAGGGTCTTACCTCAGAACTTGTCATCACAAAAATGGTTGGACCCTGCTATTGCTTGGTGGTGGTTGGCAAGCATCACCATACAGATACCTGAATTGGATAGTCAAAGAGATTACTGATTTGAATAAACACGAAGACTCAGTGTTCTTGGGAACAACTCTATATATTGAAGTAAGTACCTGAATAAACACAAAGACTGGGAAGTCTGATGAGCTAAGTACACTCGGTAGAAACTAAGTAAATATCTCACCTCTGTGTTCTGGGGAACAACTGAGGTGGTTACATTTCAATGGCTCGCTATATGTAGGTGAATGGAAGTATAATTTTTCTGATGGTGGTATATTGGGTGCACAGGCCACCCCATCCTTCTTACTTTCCTTTTACAGCCTTTGTCAACGCTTGCCTCGTCTTCTGCTATATCCAACAGATAGGTTTGGCATAGATTAGCGGACTACTGTTGTTAACTGTCAGTTTGGATTGGGGGGGGTTATTTGGACATTTCTGAAAGCATACATTCCACTGTCATTTTTCCCCATCAACTCAACCCATAGCAGTTTTATATATTCTTACCACTTACTCCAACTTTCCTAGCACAAAATCCTGAATTATTGAGTAAGTTCCTTCCATGTGCACAAACTTCGAGAAAGTAACACTCTACTAAGGTACTGCAATCTCAGTTTCAAAAAGTTCAGGTGCGCCACACTCAAAATCATGTTCAACCACTGATAGTGCCAAGCGGAGCTCCAACTCAGCTTGTGTGACCTCTGTGACATCCAAACTGACGGTTAACAACAGTATAGCAGGCTCAGCAGCAGGTTGCGTGATATGGCCAAAGCATGTAATTTCTGGACACATGGTATGGACTGATATGGACTGGTATGGATATATAGGAGCAGCCGGATTGTCTAGTATGAGAGCATTGAACAATGTGACTTGGATTATAATCTATATCACATTGAGTGAGATTGTCAAAGGTTGTCAGAAGCTGCCATTTATTTAAATTATTTGACATGGAGAGAATTGGATGGAAAACCCTCTGAGCAGCCCTATGCAGTACTAGTAGATTCAGCAGCAACATTCAAAAGCCACAGCACTCCGAAAAAAATGAGTAGTTATCACAGACATTGTCCTAAGCTTGTAAATTGACACAATCCTAGCAGTGTATGTAGATGACATGACACTTGTGACACTAACAGCTGTCCATATGATGGCCCTAAAAAGTGAGTGATTGAAGCTTTTTGAGGTCAGCAACCTTGGGGAATTACACTGGATGCTGGGGATGGAGATAAAGAAAAACCAACTCACCCAAACCATAAGTCTCTCCCAATGCTCATACAGTATATTGACACCATAATCAAATGTTTTGATCTTGAGGACAGGAAGCTGTTGAAATTGTCAAGGTTAAAGCCTGGGTTTTGTTAGACAACATTGTGCAATTGAATGTTGATATCCAAGGGCTGGTAGCTCAGTTGGTTAAAGCACCACCATATATAGGCGGGAGGTCCTGGGTGCAATCCCCGGCTGGTCCAATTTGCTTTTCTGTACTCTCTGAGTCCACCGTGGATTATTACAGAAGCCTCTGTCAATGCCAATGGTTGCAAATACATACCTAACAAAAGAGAAATGCCCCAAAATGCCCAAAGACTTTGCTGATATGTGGGACCCATCTTATTGGGAGGTCATAGGATCCCTTATGTATGCAGCAATTGCCACTCACTCAGATATTGTGCACACCATGTAACAACCAAGAGTTTAGTTACTCTGGCGCACAACTTGGACAAGGCTATAAAGGTAGTGAGGGGAATGGTTACCCTGAGGATAGGCCTGAGTTAGTTGTGGGTAAACAACAGGAGGACTCGCTGAGGAGTCCCCTTGATCTATTGGGGTATATATACTACTACAGGTTTGTTTGTACACATATACTGTACAGTTGGTGAAAGCAGTGGTTGATGATGTCATGGGGCACAGCCTGTGTGGCCAGCTCCACTGCATGAGATACTTGTATCTAAAAATAAAGAAATGCAGTGCAGCACAAGAAGATGGAGTTTGAACAAAAGGGAAAGTGCTGCATGGCACAGTGTGTGAAAACTACAGAAGAAAGTTGAAGAGGAGAATGAAATTTAAAGGTCCGAAAATTGTGTTATCATAACACACCATAGCTATACTCTTGAGGTTCGTGGAAAATCCTGAGAAGATGCATTTGGAGGCAGAAAAGAGAGTGGTGAAGTATCTGAAGGGAATGTGTGAGCTCTGGCTCTGCTATGGACCAGAAAGGGAAGAACTTACTAGCTATTATGATGCTGATTGCAACATGCATGAAAATTGCTGCACTATCCCAGGATATGCCATCATGTTGGATGGAAAAACCATCTCGTGGTTCTCAAAGCAACAATAATTGGTTGCACTGTCAACCACAGAGGCCGAATACATGGCTGCAGCCCACACCACAAAAAAGTTCCTCTGGATTAGGATGCTGTCAGAACTGTGGCCTCTTTGGAGTAATGTGTAAGGACCATTCGCTTTTCTCTACCTTTTCATTCCATGTCTTGGTTTTTAGACACTTTCCCTATTACACCTCTAGCTTTGGGGCTAGAGGTGTCCTTTTCCATTTTACTTCTAATAGCCTTAACAGGGTTTCTTAACCATCAATACCATTTCATATTGCAGATCAGAGACTGGGTAGCACTCCCAGCCAGCCAGCACAATGGGTAAGGACTGGTTGTAGAGATCTCGCCAACCAGCTCCACACCGCATCAGTGCCTGGATATATTAATAAACACTTTAGTTAGGATTATACCTCATCACGAGGATACAGTTCCTGAATATGTGTAATAATACCTATTATTAGTATATCTTCCTACCTGCTGATTAATCCTTGAAATCGCACAATAGTTCTTCTTTTTCTTATTGGTTGGTTTCATCCTTAGACCACTTTTCTATTGTTCCTCTTTCAGTCTGAGAGATAGACAGTTAGCTATAAAAACCCTACATACTTGTGTATAGTTCTTTAGCTTTCTATTACTTGAATTACCCGCTTTACTTCTTATCAGAAATTCTTGAGTTTACTCTTAGTCCTCTACTTGCTATAAACTCTAGCATCTGTTGACCTCAAAACTCATTGTACCTCTTACTCCTTGCAAGTGCAGTAGGAAGTGGGTATTATTTTTGTTATAGTTTAATGTTGCCTCACAAATGTGGCCTTCCAAGCATCCTCTTCTTTGATACATACATTGTTGTATCCCCATCTGAGGTCCATCTTTGTCAAGAACTTGGCACCAGCCAATTTGTCTACTAGCTGACCAATCAAAGGCAGCAGATACACTCTGGAGGTACCAGCCTCTTAATCTCTTCCTCAGGTTTCACCTCATCATTATCATTGTTTATCTTATCCAAAGATCTGAGTTTGGCATAAATGTGACCAGCATTTATTTTTTCATCAAGCTCAGTTTGACGGACGTGACTCAGCTTACCCAAGTCATCACACTCCTGAGGGCAATGTGACAATGTGACAACCCCTGTCTTCCAGTTGATCTCAGGATTGTGTATAAATAGCCAGGTCCAGCCTAAGATTAAATTAATCTTCCCTAGTTGGGTAGCTTCAGCGGTGACTTATTCTCTGTGTCCTTGGTACTTGACAACAAAAGAACATTTGTGCGTGATGCAGCCACCCACATTAAGTGTACCATCAACATTATGGACAGGAATAGACATATTTAATTTTACAAGGGGGAGTCCGACTCGCTCTGCCCAGACCTGATTTATAAAGATGCCGTTAGCACCTGAATCAAGCAGAGCGCTGGTTGGGTGTACTATGCCCCGGGCAAGGTCTTCCACACCAACATCTAAATGGATCCCCTTTTGGAATAAATATGTGTGCATCAACACACGCCTTGGGATTTCTGTGCAAAGTGGCTCCAAAAATCAAAAGAAACATGTTTTTCTACTTTAGTATTTTCTATATTTTCATCTTTATTTTTACCAGAATCAAGCACCCTAGTGTTTGTCTCACCAGGGCCACACTCCAAGGGAGGCGCTGGTGCAGTGGAAGTATCATAAATATTACAATTGCATTTTTGAATACAAGTACATATTTCTGATCACAAATTAAGAAATTTATTTACAAATTGGGGAGCCACCCCCTTTCCTTTATTGCTCATGC